TGGTCTTGAACTCCTGACCTAAGGTGATCCGCCCGCCTCGGCCTCCCAAAGTGCTGGGATTACAGGTGTGAGCCACCGCACCAGACTGGCTGGCACATTTTAGATACTGTATTAGTCAAGGTTCTTCTGAGAAACAGAACCGATAGGATGGACACACACACACATGCAGAGAAAGAGAGTTTACTTTGAGGAATTGGCTTATACCATTGTGGAGGCTGGCAGGTTCGACAGGGTAGGCCAGCAGGCTGAAGACCAGGAAAGAGTTGCAGCTCGAGTCTAAAGGCAGTCTGCTGGCAGAATTCTCTCTTCTTTGGGGGAGGCGAGTCTTTTTTCTATTAAGGCTTTCAACTGATTGGAATGAGGCTCATCCACATTAGGGAGAGTAATCTGCTTTACTCAAAGGCTACTGATTTAGATGTGAATCTCATCTTAAAAAATACCTGCACAGAAACATCTAGAACAATGTTTGACCAAATATCTAGGTACTGTGGCCTATCCAAGCTGACAAAATTAGCCATCACAGATGCTCACTAAATCTTCTTGAATTGAATTGACAACACAGGATATGTGAGCAGCTACTTTTGGTTTCCTGTTTCTCCTGTACTAGCTTTCTTCTGCTTTCTTCATTTTCCTTCATTTAAATTCATTTTAACAAATGTATATAGAGGTCTAACCTGTAGTATGTTTTTCTTTAATTTTTTTTCCTATTTTGTGTCTGCTAGTAAGTCCAAGTGGCCCTGCCTATCAACCATTTCCTGTTCAACCAACTCCCTTTTCTTTCACTTTTTTTTTTTTTTAAGCTCCGATTATTCAGCTAGGCAGTCATGTATGTATAATCCACATATTCAGGCCCCAAAGTGGCAAAGAGTTAATTCCTGTTTTTTGATTCTGTGCTTCCATTTGCCTTCTGTTGAAGCAGTTTTAGCCACGGTGTGGTAGAGGAGCTGACCACTAGGGCCTTAGACTTTTTTGTGTCAAATTGGAAGGGAGTTTATTCTAAAAGCATGACCTTATGTGAACATTTAGAATCAATTACGGTCATAATACTATTGCAAATGAGACAGACACACTTATAATGTAAAAGTAAGTAGTTTTATTTACAGGATATAAAATTGCATACACAAAATTATTCCATTTTTGTTCAAAAAATATGTACATAAAATAAAGACTGTAAATATATACAACCTGAATCATGAACTGTGGATGGTTTCTATTTTGTCTATGTTTTCTAAAATTTCTTCATACACATAATATACAAAAATGCTTATTGCAAGCATTAAGCTTCCCTTTATCTCTCTTCCTACTCCCTGACAACTCTCTCATCCCCATCGTCAGAGATAACTGTAATCATTATTAATAATTTGATATTTATCCTTCTATCCATTTTACACACATATACGTGCATTTGCACATGCACACACACAGAGCTTTTCTCACGAATATAAATAAGGTCATATATATTCATCTTTTAAAATCTTTTTAATTTTTTGTTTGTTTGTTTTGAGATGGAGTCTTGCTCTGTTGCCCATGCTGGAGTGCAGTGGCGCAATCTTGGCTCACTGCAGCCTCTGCCTCTGGGGTTCAGCGATTCTCCTGCCTCAGCCTCCCGAGTAGCTGGGACTACAGGCCTGCACCACCATGCCCGGCTAATTTTTGTGGTTTTAGTAGAGACAGGGTTTTACCATGTTGGCCAGGCTGGTCTTGAACTTCTGACCTTAGGTGATTCACCCACCTTGGTCTCCCAAAGTGCTGGGATTACAGGCGTGAGCCACCACGCCCAGCCTAAAATTTTGTTTTTTTCAGTTAAGTGTCTCTAAGCTCTTCCCATGTGAGCATGTCTATGTCTACCTCACGGTTTTAAGCAGCTCCATAGTTTTTCCATGAATAGTTATGTCACAATATAGGGGAAGGAAATGAATACTCCCCTGTAGATAGATATTGAGGATATTTCCAATTTTCTGCCATTGGGAACATTTTGTGCAGAACATCCAGAAACATTTATATTTGTGAATGTTTGTGGGTATTTCTTTTAGAACATTTTGACTACAATTATACATTACTTTTATTATAAAAAAGTTACTGCACTTATCTTCAAACTCATCAAGTTGTATACACTAAATATGTACCGCTTTTTGTATGTCAGTCATATCTCAATAAAGTTATTTAAGAAAACATATAAACACTTGTTTTGATAATTTTAAAAATAGTTAGCAGCCTAAAAATAAGATTACTTGGGTACTCTAGAGGAGCAGGGGCTGTCAGGGCCTAGCACACACTTACACAGCAGGTGTTTAATGTCTGAAGAATGTATAAAGATCTTTCTTGTAAGTGACAAGTTTGTTAAGAACAGTGTCATTGTTCCTACCTTATACATGAAGTGTCTGAAGGATCTTAGAGATCAGGTCCAAGGCCTACAAGTTTATTTCTCAGCAAGAGCCTCAACATAGCAATTGATTCAGTATCGGTGAGTAATGAAGATGCCTATGATGTGTCTTCCTCAATAAAACTAAGAGCAAGGAACCAAGTATGCAATGTATTTGTCTTTCCAGGACCTGTGCTAATGCCTAGCACCTAGTAAGATGCCAAGTAACTATTTGTTCTTTTTGGCAGAACAACATTCACTGTTTCCTTCGCAAACAAACACTGGTTTTTGTAAAAGAACCTACCACTATCTCTCAGGGAAGACGTGTCTATCATTGATCTAAGGGAAACATCATAATCCAACTTGCCTGCCGGGAATTGGTTTAGACTTCTGGAGGATCTTTGAGAATAGTTTCTTTATCTTGAAAGAAGAGACACTCTCTTTTTCCACTGGACACTGTCTATAACTGCAACTGTAATGCATTATTATGCATACACATTATCTTGACTGCAATATAATCATAAATATATAATCTGAAATAATCAGAGCTAAACAAAAATTTTCAAAGGAATTAACAGTAAGTGGTTAATAGGCAAGGCCTCTTGGACTCACTAGCAGACACAAAATAGCAAAATAGTTTAAACAAAAACACACCGAAGGATAGGACCTCTATACACATTTGATAAAATGAATTAAAATGGGGAAAAATGTGATCTTGTGCCAGTTAAAAACGTCAGTCTGGGAATAAAAATAACTGAAGACAGTAGGTCAGAAAGATAAGAAGAACAGGGCCTTTGATGATAGTATTGAGTCGCTGAATTAACCCTGGGACTTCTTACCTTTAGACATTTTGTTACATAAGGTAAGTGTCCTTATTATTTAAGCCTGGTGAGTATGTGGTGTTTTGGGGGTGGGGAAGAGTGATGTTATTTGCCATTATTTGGAACCAGAAACATGCTAACTGATGAATTATCCTATTGGTTTACACGACAATGTCCTTGATGCCCCAGAAACATTTTCTAATTTTGACAGAGGAGAAAGGATGTCAGTAGGTGTTAACTAATGTGAAAAGAAGGTAGAATGGCTCATGTGTGTGATGGAGATGAGAACTGGGAATACAGAGAGGTATCTGATCTGGTAGTAATTTTTTCTTGCATGACTACTACATTGATAAGCACTGTGCTAAAATTTTTCAATTAATTATTTCATGCAATCTTCAAACCAACTTTATGAAATATGTACTATTATTTTTCCTACTTTACAACAGAAAGTGAAGCTTAGCAAGATGAAGTGACTTGTCTAAAGTCACTTACTCAAGCTAGTGTTTTTTGTTGTTGTTGTTTGTTTTTGTTTTGTTTCGGTTTTTTTTGAGATGGAATCTCACTCTGTTGCCCAGGCTGAAGTGCAGTGGTACGATCTCGGTTTACTGCAACCTCCACCTCCCGGGTTCAAGTGATTCTCCTGCCTCAGCCTCCCGAGTAGCTGGGATTACAGGCACCCAGCACCATGCCCGGCTAATTTTTTGTTTTTAGTAGAGACTGGGTTTCACCATGTTAGTCAGGTTGGACTCGAACTCCTGACCTCATGATCCACCCGCCTTGGCCTCCCATAATGCTGGGATTACAGGCGTGAGCCACTGTGCCTGGCCCCCAAGTATTATCACAAGGATTTGAAACCAGATAGCATGGATGTGTCAGGAGTCTATGCTAATGGTCGCAAGTTCATAGGCACCATAAAGTTCAAAGCAAACGAATTGCTAACAACCCCAGTTTTTCTGTTTTGTTTTTGTTTGTTTGTTTGTCTGTTTGTGTTTTGAGACAGGATCTTGCTTTGTCTTCCAGGCTGGAGTGCAGTGGCACAATCTCAGCTCACTGCAACCTCTGCCTCCTGGGCTCAAGCAATCCTCCCAACTCTGCCTCCTGAGTAGCTCAGACCACAGGCGCATGCCTGGATAATTTTTGTATTTTTTGTAGAGAACAGGTTTCGCCATGTTGCCCAGGCTGGTCTCGAACTCCTGGTCTCAAGCAGTCTGTCCACCTCGGTCTCCCAAAGTGCTGGGATTACAGGCATGAGCCACTGTGCCCAGCCCCAGTTATTCTTTACATTTAAGCCAAAAACAAAAAATCACCCTTTCCCATGGATGCTCACAGAAAGATCACTATATAATATGAACAATATCCTCAGCAGACATCTTAAGCTGAAACTGTGTTGAGTTGTATCAGGATGCTTATTATTCGAAATGTCTCTTACTACGGAACTTGCTTCGACTGCATCCTCAGAGGCTGAAAATCTTTGATAGTTGAAGGAACGAAGGATGTGTCATCCCCAAATATGCCATATAATATATTGATTATTTCAAGTTGAAAACATTAAAGAAATTATAGTTTCAGAAAGGGTCAGTAAAACTGAGGTCTGACCTGATAAGGCCTCACACTTAATTTGCCTCGCTTGCTTTTAGTCCCTTGTTTCTAGTCAATTTTAAAACCTGCATAGCTAAAAGTCACGTAGCTGTACAATACATAACTAAATTCCACTTGCCTCCTTAGAGATAACTTCTCTGATAGGACACCATGGAAATGATTGCTTAAGTTATTTTTCAGGAACTTAGAATCAGTTCTTGTCCAGTTCAAGCCACCAGCCCTTCATTTGCGCCTGCATGAGTGTCCAATGGGTGACCTTTTGACATCAGAAGGCCCAAAACTCCACCCTCAGATCATGCTAACATCGTGATTTTGTGAACATGTGTTCTATGAACAGCCATGAAGCTTGACTATGCTTGCTCAGATTACTGATTGCCTGTTTTCCTTACCTCATCTTTTTGGGCACCTTGGACCACCTTCCTCCCCTAACCTATAAGCATCCCTAAAATTCCATCTTTGGAAAGGCAGATTTGAGGCCTGTTCTCCAGTCTCCTGGCCTGGTTGCCTTGTGAATATGCCCTTTCTCTGCTGCAAAACTCATGCGCCTCAGTGATTGGCATACTGTGTGAAAGGCAAATGAACCTGGTTCCCTAACAGGAGCTGAACTGTCTCTTCCTACAAGTAGCCAGCAATAAAGATTCCTCTAGGAGAGGTATGTTCTCCACGCCAGAGTGAGAAAATAACCCTTACCACCAGAGATTTCGAACTGGAGGTGGCATTTGGACTGGAATAAACATTCTTGCAAAGTAACCATTATCTTCCACCTGTTTTACACCCCACCCCCCATATATCTCCTAGGGGCTCCCCCAGAAATTTTTACCACCTTAGCCAGATTTTCTTTGTCCTGTCATTTCTTCTTTAATTTATCACTCTTTTTCTAAAAAGTATAAAAGCATCTTGCTTTGGCCACTTTCTTCAGGATTCAGTCTCTTAACATCCCCGTGTACATGTACAATTAATAAAATTTGTATACTTTTCTCTTGTTAATCTGCCTAGTGTCAATTTGGCTTCTAGATGCAGCTGATTAGCCCACTAAAAGCTAAAGGGTGTAGGGGGTTGAGGGTGATCTCTGCCTCCCTTACTGGTGAACTTGATTTTTGTAAACACTCAAAAGTCACTTAGGCTAGAGTTGGAGATGGTGATGGGGATTCACTGGGAAGGCCTCAAGAGAATGTTTTAAAGTAATGGAAAATTCCATATTTTGATTATGGTGTAAGGGCATTTCATTATATATAAATTAGATATCAATTTTTAAAAAAGCTCTCAGACCAAAGCTAGTCATTACAGCAAGAAAACAGGCATAGCAAATTTAAAACTTTGGAGAAATACATAGAATACTTGCATATAGTGATCCTGATTTGCTTTAAAAGTGGCATGATTAATGTATTTAGACGAAAATAATCTTCGTTTTTCTTTGCTTTTATTTACGATCAGGATAAAATAATTCTACGCTGCTGCCAAATAAAAGACGAGTTAAAATTAACTAACTGGATCCTTAACAACCATTCTAAGAGGCAGATATTATTATCCCATTTTATGCGTGAAGGCCCAGAACCCGGGCAAGGGCGGCGCACTCAGTACGCTCTTCCAAGCATCTAGGCACACCCGGTCCACTACACCCCTACAGAGTCGGACGTGAGCACGGGCGAAGGCGTCAGCCGGGTCTACGCGGGAGTCACTGACCACACCCGGGCGAGAGCCGGCTTTCCGGTGCCGCCACATTCCGGGGACCAGGCTCCGGGCCCTTCAGAGCATTTGGGGCGGGCGACGGAGGTCCTGTCCACTCTCGCTTGGGTGCAGAAGGGCGCGGCGGTGCCGGGAAGCCGCCTTGGAAGTTCCAAGATTAGCTCAAACTCCGCGCAGCCGAGCGCAGGTGCTGGGGGACTCGCCGCCTCCACGCAGACCTGGGGACAGTCCCGGAAGCCGGGGACCTGGCTCCGCCCCAGCCCGCGCCGTCGCCCACCGGCAGCAGCCAGGCCTCTTCCCTGGCCCCGGGAGCCCGCGCCGCGCCCTTCGCTCGCGCGTTCCAGTCCAGGCTACGAGCAGGTACCGCCCCCCGGCCCTCGGCCCCGCGCTCCCCTCCCCGGCCCCTGGCTGGCGGGGCCGTGAGGATTCCCAGTCTTGCAAAGCGCGAGAGCTTGTCAACCGCCCCGTTTCTCTCCAAAGCCGGGCATGGCCCGGAAGCAGCTGATCAGATCTTAGTTCTGAATGTATAGTTCGGGTACGAGAATGTGACCCGTGAAAGTTCAGAGGAGTTAAGGAATTACAGCGTTCTGAAAGCGAACGTTAAAGGCAATTTACAAACGAAAAAAGATGCCGGTTTTCTTCCCCCATCCCAGCTTGCAACTCACCGAAACACACATTAGGGTGGAGCCAGAAGGAATTACGGAAAGTACAATGAGGACATTGAGATGGAGGGTATGGGGGGTTAACAGTTAGTCTTCAGAAGCCAAGAAGCGGAGCTAGTGTCTGAAAATCACAGCGCAGGACGGAACTTCAGGGAGCCTATACCTCCCCACTACCCCTCCAATTTACAGATGGGGAAACCGCGGTCCCGAGTGTCTGTTCTCCCACAACTCTGTCTCGGCAGAGTCAGGTCTAATAGCCCAGAACCTCAGTGCCTAGGCTTCACTGTAAATAATAAGCGACGTAAATAACATTTACAAATATCCTTTGTGAGCAGAAACAGCATTACCAGTAACTGGGTACTAGAACGCATCCGTCTTCGTCGTTTACTCCTTCTCCAGGGGCTCCCTAGCCTGCATTCCATGGACAACAGCAGTGCAGCTGCAGAAGCACTTCTGGAAGCCCTGTGACTTGAACTAGACCTTGAGTAAATAGGGTTTAGATAAATGGAGGGGAGGGAAAAGTTTCACCTGAGGGGAGAACGAGCTAGTCTGCCGGACCCTTATAAAAGTATTGGCCTGGATGGGATGGAGGGCTTTGACCTGAAAGCCACAGGGAGTAGGGACCCCTGGGGAATTGGCTGAAAGAGGAGGGCTCTTAGGAAATGCACCAACAGGGAAGCCAGCGCTTTACCAGGGATTTCATTCATGGTGGGTATATTATTAATCGAGATCCTAATTCTCTAGAAGCTGATCATTTCTAAGAGAAACAATATTTAAACATTGCTGTCGAAGGAAAGGTTGTGGGGATAAAATGTTCTAGTTCTAAAACAGAACACCCATTTTCCCTGGTTGTATATGAATAATACAAATACGTCAAAAATCAAGCTTACTATGTGCCAAGCACTCTAATAACTTATTTATTTATTTATTTGTTTATTTATTTATTTATTTTTTAAATTTATTTGAGACAGAGTCTCGCTCTGTTGCCCAGGCTAGAGTGCAGTGGTGCAGTCTCGGCTCACTGCAGCCTCTGCCTCCTGGGTTCAAGCGATTCTCCTGCCTCAGCCTCCCTAGTAGCTGGGGTTACAGGCACGCACCACCATACTCAGCTAATTTTTGTATTTTTAGTAGAGATGGAGTTTCACCCTGTTGGCCAGGCTGGTCTCAATCTCCTGACCTCAGGTGATCCACCCACCTCGGCCTCCCAAAGTGCTGGGATTACAGGCGTGAGCCACCGTGTCCAGCCAACTTTATGAACTTTAATTTGTTTATTCCTAACAACAAATCCAGGAGGTTGTTACTTTTTAAAATCAGTGCCATTTTACAAATGTGGAGGCTGAGGCACCCAGAGGTTGCCCAAGGTAAGAAAATCTGGGCTGAGGCTGAGTGGCGTGATGCCAAGCATCCTGGCTTGGCTGGAATCAGAAGATTTGGGTTCCAGTACTTCCACTCCTCTTGTTTTGTGAATTTAGCTTATCTGAGCCTTCATTTTCTTATCTGTGAAATGCATACTGTAATCCCTCCCTACTAGTGAGACAATGAATGTGCAGGTGCTTTGTGAACTACACATTGTGACACCAATAGGAAGTGTAAAGCCTTGCACTTCTAAGGCCAAATCCCAGCTAAGAAGAGAAAATGATGAGCTGGGTTTGACTTGCAGAATTTAATGGGCTTACTACTCACCAAGAGGCAAGAGATACAGTTGTAGTTATAACGATAGACTTTGGAATCAGATGAACCTATGTTAGGATCCCAGCCGTGCCACTTATTAGCTCTGTGACCTGAGACAAGTCACTGAACATTTCTGAAACTGCGTTATCTCCATGATCCTCCACTTGCTCATACATAAATTGGGCTTTACTTTCTTCATAGAGCAGTGAAGAGGATTACATGAGATGCCCCTGATACAATGCCTGCAAGTAGTGAGTGCTCAATAAAACATAGCTGGAGCCGTTGTTTTTTCTGATTCTTCTTCCTCCTCATCTTGTTTCCTTTGTCTTAATTTTCCCACGAAGACACCCTCTCCAGAGCCCAGCGAGTGTGAGGGACTGATGGAGAAGTATGTGGCTGCTATGGTGCTAAGTGCAGCTGGAGATTCCCTGGGATACTACAATGGGAAGTGGGAGTTCCTCCAGGATGGGGAGAAGATACACCGGCAGTTGGCCCAGCTGGGCGGCTTGGATGCCCTAGATGTGGGAAGGTGGAGAGTTAGTGATGACACAGTGATGCACTTGGCCACAGCAGAAGCTCTTGTGGAAGCTGGGAAAGCCCCTAAGTTGACTCAACTGTATTACCTCCTTGCTAAGCATTACCAAGATTGCATGGAAGATATGGATGGACGGGCACCAGGTGAGCACAGCCAGTGGGAGGTACAAGGAAGGCAAGGAATAAAACAGCCTCGAGGAAATCATTAACAGTGTTGATGGAGATTTAAATAACAAAGAAACAATAGTGTTTCTAAATGTGATAAAAATAGAAACAACAGCGTGGTGGTGGCTCATACCTGTAATTCCAGCTCTTTGGGAAGCCAAGGTGAGAGAATCACTTGAGCCCAGGAGTTCAAGACCAGCCTGAGCAATATCCTGAGACCCTGTTTCTAGAATGGGGTAGCCAATCCCTGTTCTAGAGACAGGTACTAGTCCATGGCCTGTTAGGAACTGGGGCACACAGCAGGAAGTGAGCGATGGGTGAAGGAGCATCATCACCTGAGCTCTGCCTCCATCAGATCAGTGGCGCATTAGATTCTCATAGAAGCCTGAACCCTGTTGTGAACTGCACATGGGAGGGATCTAGATTGTGGGCTTCTTATGAGGATCTAATGGCTGATGATCTGTGGGGGAACAGTTTCGTCCCAAAAGCTCCCCCAACCAACCCCGTCCATGGAAAAATTATCTTCTGTAAAACCGGTCACTGGTGCCAAAAAGGTTGGGGACTACCACTCCAGAAAAAAATTTTAAAACATTAGCCAGGTGTTGTGGCACATACCTGTAGTCCCAGCTACTTGGGAGGCTGAGGTAAGAGGATTGCTTGAGCCCAGGAGGTCGAGGCTGCAGTGAGCTGGGATCATGCCACTGCGTTCCAGCCTAAGTGACAGAGCAAGACCCTGACTCTAAAAAATAAAGAAATAAATAGAAAGAACCTAAATCTCTCATAATTAATTAAGCTGACACATTTGGAACCATTTAAAATTATTCAGGGTGACTGTAGTCAATAACAAGGTATTGTATATTTCAAAATAACCAAGAGAGTAAATTTCAAATGTCTCGCCACAAAAAATAAGTGAGGCAATAGATATGCTAATTAGCTTGATTTGATCATCCCACGTTGTTTACATATATCAAATCATCACATTATACCAAATAAATATATGTAATTATGATTTGTCAATTAACATTAATAAAAATTTAAAATTTGCAAATAATATTTACTAATACTGAAAGGTATTATTATATACCAGTAGGTTGTAAAATAATATGTATGTTATGAACCTACCATCCTTTAAAAAATAGATCTTGTGGGGCCACGTGCTGTGGCTTACACCTGTAATCCCAACACTTTGAAAGGCTGAGGGGAGAGGATTGCTTGAGTCCAGGAGTTTGAGACCAGCCTGGTCAACATAGCAAAAGCCCATCTTAAAAAAAAAATTTTTTGAACGGCCAGTTGTAGTAGCAGGCACCCATAGTCCCAGCTCCTTGGGAGGCTGAGATGGGAGGCTTGCTTGAACCCAGGAGGTCCAGGCTGCAGTAAGCCATGATTGTACTACTACACTCCACCCTGGGTGACAGAGTGAGTAAGACCCTGTCTCTAAAAAAAATTTTTTTCTTTTTTGAGATGGAGTCTCACTTTGTTGCCCAGGCTGGAGTGCAGTGGCACAATCTCGGCTCACTGCAACCTCTGCCTCCCAGGTTCAAGTGATTCTCCTGCCCCAGCCTCCTGTGTAGCTGGGATTACAGGCATGCACCACCATGCCTGGCTAATTTTTGTATTTTTAGTAGAGGTGGGGTTTCACCACGTTGGCCAGGCTGGTCTCCAACTCCTGACCTCAGTTGATCCATCTGCCTCAGCCTGCCGAAGTGGTGGGATTACAGGCATGAGTCACCATGCCTGGCCAAAAAAAAATTTTTTTTTAAAATAGATATGTATTTCTGTGTTGAGAAAGGTCTTGAAGAACATGTACAAAGATTACTAATTATATTTGGGTAATGGGAGTATTTATAGTTTTTTATTTTTACTTATTTGTATTTCTAAGTTTTCTGTGATGAATAAGTAAAAAGAAAAATGTGTATTTTTTATTTTTAAAGAAAAATGCGGCTGGGCACGGTGGCTCACGCCTGTAATCCCAGCACTTTGGGAGGCCAAGGCGAGCGGATCACCTGAGGTCAGGAGAGACTAGCCTGACCAACGTGGTGAAACTCCGTCTCTACTAAAAATAAAAAAATTAGCTGGGCGTGATGGTGCATGCCTGTAATCCCAGCTACACAGGAGGCTGAGGCAGGAGAATCGCTTGAACCTGGGAGGCAGAGGTTGCAGTGAGCCAAGATGGCGCCATTGGACTCCAGCCTGGGCTACAGAGTGAGACCTCATCTCAAGAAAAAGAAAAAAAAAATGCAAATGGTTTTCTAGAGACTTCTGGCCACAGGTTTGCTCACAAGTGGTTCTTGCCCACTTCGGCAACTTGTCACAGCCACTTGGGCCACCAGGTGATTTTCTCTGGCCCATCTGACCTACCTCTCCTATTTGAGGCTACTAGGGCTGCCATAACAAAATGGCATAGATTGAGTGGCTGAAGCAATGGAAATTTATCTCTCACAGCTCTGGAAGCTGGAAATCCAAGTCAGGGTATTGACAGGCTTGCTTTCTTCTGAGGCCTCTCTCCTTGGCTTGCAGACGGCTGCCTCCTCGCTGTGTCTTCACATGGTCTTTCCTCTGTGTGCATGCATCCCTGGTGTTTGTGTGTGTCCGCATTCCTCTTCGTATAAGGACACCAGGTAGATTAGATTAGGGCCTACCCTAAAGGCCACATTTTAGCTTAATCACCTCTTTAAAGGCAGCCCTATCTCCAAATCGAGGTACTTAGAGCTATAGTGTTTGAATTGGGGGGACTCAATTCAGCACATAACACCTCCTGATGAAAGCTTCCCACCACCATACCAAGGGGTCCTTGTCACCCCAAAGATTGGCTTGAGATGCCAGTCTCTGTTTATTCTTTCTTGGCATCCGATAGCTCATCAGTTTAGCAAGTGGAAAGTTTTTTTTGTCCACCTGTGCCATCCATGAACATTGTTGTGAATACATTGACTAGTAAAGGAACAGCAGTGCCACACTCCGTCGTATGTTGCTGCCATCGCTTGGCTCGCATGCGTATTCACAGGTCTCCAGTAGGACAGGTCAGGGCAACAAGCCTGCTTACGTCACTGCCATGAGGGGACAGCCGAGGCCCAGAGGTTCAGTGACTCACCAAAGACACATTGTTTCCCTGAATCCACTGCTCCTCATCTGAGCCCAGGGCTTCACTCTAGAATTTTTGGCCTCTTTCTCTCTTTTTGATATTCAGGAACTCCAGTTGTGAGGTTTTTGTTTTTTGTTTTTTGGGTTTTTCTTTTGAGATGGAGTCTCACTCTGTTGCCCAGGCCGGGGTGCAGTGGCGCGATCTAGACTCACTGCAACCTCTGCCTCCCAGGTTCAAGCGATTTTCCTGCCTCAGCCTCCCAAATAGCTGGGACTACAGGCACGTGCCACCACGTCCGGCTAATTTTTTGTATTTGTAGTAGAGACGGAGTTTCACCGTGTTAGCCAGGATGGTCTCAATCTGCTGACCTTGTGATCTGCCTGCCTTGATCTCCCAAAGTGCTGGGATTACAGGCGTGAGCCACTGCTCCCGGCCTAATTGTAACGTTCTTACTGGACTCCATAAGGGATTGGGCTTTGGAGTCCGATGGATTTTACCCAGCCATTAACTAGCTGATTATGTGATTTGGAAGAAGTTTCTTAAGCTCTGAGTTTAAAAGACTTATTTACTTAAAAAAGAGAATAATATACTTATTTCTTAAATTTGTTGTGATGTCTCAGTAATGACTGGTAAAGATTCCAAGCGTCCCTATATGAGTCTGTTGCTTTTGTTAGCATTATCTTGCCAAGGGTTATACATAAAGAAAGGCACATTGTTGGGTGGGGTTTGGAGTTTTGGGGCATTCATCATATTTTTTGGCTCTCCCTCTCCATCAAAAATACTTGGAGACAGAGTTTAGTTATTTATTCCTGCTGGGGCCTTTGCTTTGGTTATGCTAACCCCCATCCCTTATCCGACTCTTCCCCAGGTAATGCCTCCATGCACAACGCCATGCAGCTGAAACCTGGCAAGCCCAATGGCTGGAGAATTCCCTTCAACAGCCATGAGGGCGGCTGTGGGGCCGCCATGCGGGCCATGTGCATCGGTCTCAGGTTCCCACACCATAGCCAGCTGGACACGCTGATCCAAGTGAGCATCGAGAGCGGTCGGATGACCCACCACCACCCAACAGGCTACCTGGGGGCCCTTGCGTCCGCTCTTTTTACAGCCTATGCTGTGAATGCCAGACCACCCTTGCAGTGGGGAAAAGGACTGATGGAGCTGCTACCAGAAGCTAAAAAGTACATTGTCCAATCAGGCTACTTTGTAGAGGAAAATCTTCAACACTGGTGAGTCTGTAGGTGCATGCCCTGCTCAAACATGGTTGAATCTGTGTGTGCACATCCACCTGCACATATATATCTTGTATTCAGAGATCACAGCAACCCTCATGGTTTTCACCACCCAGCCCCCTTTCTACCAATCTGCTAAGGATTTCAAGGTCCTTTCCAGTAATGATTGTACAAAGTAGCCAAGTGGGTACCTCAATGAATAGGGCAGCTGTGGTGTTTCCTTCTTACACAGGGATCCTGTCGTTTTTATGGCTATCCTATGCTGCCATGAATTTTCATGCCTATTTCCTACTTTCCTGGAATTTGCTTTTTCAGTGTTGTCTTGATACGTACACAAATAATATTTTGAAATCCTTGGTTAAAATGCCAGAGACAGGTTTTTCCACTAGCTCACTAATAAGTGATAAGGCCACATCTTCCCCTTCTTGTGAATTCACTTCACACTCTCTTTCTTAGAATAAAAAGAGGCTTTCTGCTGAAGTCACCCACAGTTGTGATGTCCTGAAGTTCCCCCTTGAAAGGTCATTGCTCTCGGCCCTCCCAGGAAAAACAAACCTTTATTTCCTACCCTTTAACATGATATGTATCTCTTTATTTAGCAACAGGATCAGTGCCTTATTTATGTAGATCCTTATGAGACATGTATTGAATGAATGGTACTTATATAGAAATAATTTTAATGTTTAAATAGTTTAAGATATTACTGCAAGAAGTTGAAGTTATGTTGGATTTTCCTCTGTTCACACATCCATCTGGTGCTTTTTGTTATGACTTTTCACCTTATTTTTTTCAACTGACTCTAGATTTTTTCCTTTCTACAGGTCCTACTTCCAAACCAAATGGGAAAATTACCTAAAACTTAGAGGGATTTTGGATGGAGAATCAGCCCCTACCTTCCCCGAGCCCTTCGGTGTGAAGGAGAGGGATCAGTTCTACACCTCCCTGAGCTACTCTGGCTGGGGTGGCAGCAGTGGGCACGATGCCCCCATGATTGCCTACGATGCTGTCCTTGCCGCGGGAGACTCCTGGAAGGAGCTTGCCCACCGAGCCTTTTTCCATGGTGGAGACAGTGATTCTACAGCTGCCATTGCTGGCTGCTGGTGGGGAGTTATGTATGGTTTTAAAGGAGTGAGTCCCTCCAACTATGAGAAACTAGAATACAGAAACCGGCTGGAAGAGACAGCTAGGGCTTTATATTCTCTTGGGTCAAAAGAAGACACTGTAATTTCCCTTTAGGAGACGTGATGTTCATTTCTGATGGATTCTTCTTTTGTGTATTTCCTTTTCTGCTATTTCTTTTCACTTTTTCCAAAGTCAAGAGTCTTAACCTTGTACTCAGGGAATTTTGAGATAACAAGTCCCTTGGGCACCTTGAGCTCAGTGTTTTCAGGCTCATCCTTTTCTTCCAGAATCTATCCCTGTTCTTACACTGAAGAGTCTTTTCACTCAGTTGATGGAGTCGGTGTCTCCCAACCAAAAAATCTCATAACCTCATATTTGAGTCTTCATTTTCATCATGTACTTGTTCTAAAAGTTTTTTCTGTTTGTCTCAAGTTGGGTTCCCACAAAGTGGACTTTGAGACAAAGATCAGAATGCAAGCAGTTTATCTGGGAGATGATTCCAGGAAATACCGATATGAGAATGGGGAAATGAAACCAGGAAGGGAAGGGAGCTAGTACCGGGTATGTCAATGAGCAGGTTTCCACTGTGGGCAGTTGGCACTCTGCCATCTGAATCTTCTGCCTAAAGCAGTCCTCAGAACTATCCCATTTGAAGAGCAAGCAAACCTGGGGTATCTGTCCACTGACTTCCATCTGACACTGCTTGAGGACCACTGCCAGGGGTGCTAATCCCTGGTACTTCTTGGCTTGCCCTTTGAACAAACCAAACCTGAGTGTCTTCAGGTAAAGACTCAGAGATACTTGCAGGGGCAAGCTGTAAGGGGCATGGGAACAGTGAGGGATATATGTGGGGTCCTAACAATATCTGCTAGGCCGGTCTACCTCCTAAATATACTCTAAATCTATCACCTCTATTACCTTCTTGCCCTGAGGATTTTTCAGCTGGATTTCTGCAAGCCAAGCTACTCCAGTCTGGGACATGCTGCTCTGAGCTGCTCTCAGTACTCTCCTCATCATGGCAGTTAACACGTTACCAATTTTGTTATTATCTATTTGCTTGTTTGTATTATTTCTAGACAGAACCTAGCACAGTGCTTGGGCAGCCAATAGGCATTAATCAGTATCTATTGAGTGTTATGAACTAGCCTCCTAGCTTGTGCTTCCCTCATTACCCTCCAGAGTTATGTTTACAAATAACAAATTGACCATGCTAAACTAATCATGGTCTAATCATGTTCTTCATTTCTTGATGCTCTTCCCAATCCTTGTCTACCTGATAATAAATTCTTACTTGTCCTTCAAGACCCAACTCAGATAGATAGAGCTTCCTGGGTGAAACCTGCTCTGATTGTTCAGGCACTTGGCCACCTTCTCTTCACTCCTCCCACAACCTTCTGTCCTGGCCTTGTCACTGCATCAATCCTGTTGTGTGGTGCTGTGTGTCTTCTGAGTCAGTCCTAGGCACAGGCTGCCCAGCAGATGTCCACCTGGGAAATGAGATGCCATCATCACGTTCATTTGGTCACCCTCAGTCCAGCCTGTGCCTGGACTGGAGAGTAAGTGGGCTTACTCTCATTTGGCCTATTCTCAGGGGTGGGAAGGAAGAGCGTCTCCTCCTTCTCCTTTTGAGAAAACCACAAAACTATGACTCATGATTTTTCCTTTGTGAAATCCCTGGTTTTCAGCTGGGAGTGGTGGGGAAATGAGGTCTGATGATAGCTGTCCTGCCACCTTCTGGTTTGTCCCATAGGAATGTTTTTCCAGGTCCTTCCAGTCTTTTTAGAATGTGGTGGAGGAGGGTTGTGTGTGTCGCAGGGGGTAGGGGTTAGGGGATGCAGGGAGGATCTTAGCATTTGTTGTTTTCTAGTGCAGGGCTTTAGCCACAATTGTAAACAAGAGGAAAACGCTCTTTAGGGATCCTATTAGATTTGCTTTGCCGATTGTCACTCTTCCTTACAGGCACATTTCAAAAAGAGGTTAGACTTTCAGACTTCTTTTTTCTCAAACCTCAAAACCTCCACCCAAACTTCACTCTCAGCTGGTGACTTTGCTTCCTTGTGTGTGTGTGTGTGTCAGAGAAAGAGAGAGAGAGAGAGAAGGGAGGATGAAAACGAATGGGGGAAAGAGATGAACTTTATGCATAACGTTAGGGTAAATCAATAAAGATGATCTGACACATTGTATGAATTTGCCATTCTTATCAAGTTAATCTATGTGTATTGCACAACACAAGAGGTCATATGTGACCTTTCAAATGATAGTTTTTGGACCTGCTGTGTGATGCCTGTTTCATTTGCTTTCTTTGTTAGCCAAGGTTGCTACATGTTGTCTAGAAGTCTTGGCAATAGTTGTTTTTTGTTTGCTTGTTTGTTTGTTGTTTTAGATCTACAAAATTAGCATTGACCTCATTCACCCTTCTTCAAGATTCTCCAACAACATTCTTCATTTATTCTTCTTTCTGTACCTCTCTGGAGTGAGTAAACTTGCATCTTTTTAAAACAGCCACTGAGCTACTAGGACATTGAGGGGAAGGAATGGGGACTAACTTCACAATCCAACCGGCCTCCCGGGCCAGCTCCTCAACAATGGCTGCCTGGGGTCAGGCTGAGGACCCACAGGTTATTTAGATGGGACTGGAGGGCAGCCTACCATCATTTGTTTTACTCTTTGGGCTTGGGGGTTGGAAAGAGTAACTCCTAGGGAGTAGGGGAGGCTCTTTCCATTTGGGGAAGGATAAAGAAGAGAGGAAGAGAATATTGCTGTGTGTCAGATCATTCACAACAACCCATGAATAGATGAAGAAATTGGGCTTAGAGAGGTTGCCATCTGTTCAAAGTCACTCAGGATGAGATGGAGCTGCGGTTTAAAACCAGGTCTGTTTCTCGTACAAAGGATGGAACCAAACCAAGGTGCTTTTCCCAGTCTCATGCAGCACTCACACTTCTGACACCCAAAGGTGTGGGAGTTGTTTCCCCATGCACCAAGCAAGTGTCTAACAGACGCCAAGTGGGTGTCCTCTAATTCAATTCTGATGGTATCTTCTGGATGATAGCATCAGATTCCACAATTTAAGGCACAAGACTGCCCCTTCTCACCCATACCACTGCTTCAGATGTTGACCACAAGTCCCAGGTTCTGGCCTGTGCTTCTGACCAACCAGCTGTAAATCAGAGTTCCCACAAAACCCTACTCAGGTTTGATTAATTTGATGGAGTGGCTCACAGAACTCAGGAAAACACTTAGTTTACTGGTTTGTTAAAAGATATTACAAAGGCTACAAATGTCTAGCCAGTTGGAAGAGATGCACAGGGCAAATCATGTGGGAAGGGGTGTGGAGCTTCAGTGACCTCTCCAGGTATACCACCCTTTAGGAAGCTCCATGGGTTCAGCTGTCCAAACCCAGTTCTTTTAGGTTTTTATAGAGGTTTATTGTGTTGGCATGATTGACTAAACCATTGACCATTCGGAATCAACTCAGCCTTTAAGCCCCCACCCCTCCCTGCGGGTCATGAGTGGGTGGGGACAAAAGTTGCAACCCTCTAATCACATGATTGATCCCCCTGGCAACAAGTCCCCATCCAGAGGCTATCCAGGAGCCCACCAAAAAGTCCTCTCACTAGAACAAAAGATGCTCCTCTCACTCGGGAAATATCAAGGGATTTAAGAGTTCTGTGCCAGGAACCAGGGTCAAAGACTAAATATTTGAACAAAAGATTAGCACCCCTATCTACAAGGGTTTTAGCAGCTCTGCATCAGAAACTCAGGGGTAGAGACCAAATACATATTTCTTACTATGTCATCATAGCACAGTCTTTAAAGCCCATTTTCGTTGTACACATTCTACTACACTCTAATTGTTAGCTCTTTAAGTATTAGAAAATCATTCCTTAGGTCAAAATGGTATAATATGGTGACAGTGTAAGCCTGTGCTGTCTTCACCTTCCTACAATTAAGTGGTGATGTCAAGAGGAAAGACTAGGTGTGGGTTTGAGATCCACATTTGGCAGCAGGGGTAGGGAAGGGACAGAGTGAACCTAGGAAAAATTGTGAAGTGGGCAGAGAATCTTCACTCTCCTCTCAGGCTTTTTCCCCTTCTCAGGCAGTTCCCCCACCTCTGCACTCATTTTGCCCCTTAGCCACAGTGGAGACCCCACCCAATGCTTCGGACATGATCTAGACTTATCTGTTCACACTGTGGTTGGTTATATCTGTCTCCACTTGCCAAGGTCCTTCACTTTTGTGGGCCTTGAGGTCATTGTCTCTACCAACTGGTGGCCTCAGGCAAGTGACCCCTCTCAGGGTATTTGAGCTTGGAGCCCCTGGACTTTCAATACTAACACCCAGAGAACATGAGTCTAAAATGGGGTTGTCTGACTTGGAGATAAGAGCAAAGAAAGAATCTTTTGGTCTCCCAATCTACAGAGTTGTGGATAGAAACATGTACTTACTAATAGAGAGCCATGCTTCAAAGCGGTGTTTCTCATCATTTTGGCTGGTATATGGACAACCCTCCTCCCCATTGTCAATGTCAGCAGGTGAAAGTGACACAGTCCATCTGTCGGCCCAGTTCAGGGGCTGGCTGTGTCTTCTTACTATATCTTCCTTCTAAAATACACTTTCTATTGGAGACTGCTCTAGTGGAGGTGACATTCTGGGGTGAGGTGGACTCTCTACTGTCCCTTATTCCACCAGCCCTGAATCCAGGAGACCTAAGAGGAGGGTGCTCTGAAGGTGTGAATTTTTTCCTTGTTGCAGGAACATGGTAATTGCTATGTAATTAGGACTAAGAAAAGGCATGCTCTGTGATCTTTTCCAGAGAGCCACCATTGAAACCTGGCTCTGCCACCAGATGCCTCCAAGCCTCAGGTTGCTCAGGACTAATGTAAGTTGAGGCTAATAATGCCCACCTTGAGAGTATGGTGAGAATGAGAGTAGGTAGCATGAATTCAGCAGAAAGGATAAGGACCTGTTGCTGGTGGTAGTTTTTCAAATTCAAATCCATGCTATGCCACTTTGTGCAGCCTTGGGCAAGTTACTAAACCTTGCACTGCCTGTTTCTGCACATGGAAAATGGAGTTAATAATAGTATCTACCTTGTGGGATTGTTGTACATTTTACACAGCATAGTATCTAGCATATAATAAGCAGTTAAACAAAAAATGGAAAAAGATATGTTAACATATACTATCTACATATTACTGGTGGCTTTTAAAAAGTGTATCTAGGGTCTTCTTTTTACCAAGCTGTCATGAAATGAGAAACCCAGGGAAATTCCCAGACAACCACCTCCAGCCAGTTTCTTCTGTCATGTGGGAAACTTTTGACACAACCCCGGGTGCTCACAGGGCCTTCTTTCCCTTCAACCTTCTCACAATACTCCCTTGCCATAATGCACACCCAAAGATAAGCCCTTAAAGTTCACAATTTTACTTTGAAGTTAAGTGATCTCAGAGAATAAACACGAAACCATTGAATTTTAGTATCAAACTGTCATTTTAAAGCTACAAATAATTTTCAGCCCTCTCAACAGTTGCAAGCTTGGCATCACCGGCAGAGTACACAGCTTCTCTGTTCTGGCAAAACCACAAGTGACCTTTTTGTCTGGGCTAATATAAAGCCAGTCTCTACTTATTCTTTCTGGAAAAACAGAGACAGAATATAGATGTTTTTAAATGAAGGCTAAAATAATGTGGTTTGGCGTATTAGGGGCATGAAATGTTCTCTTTCTCCGTAAGGTTTTAGACTGTCCTGTGTGAAAAGCAGGTTCACTGTGATTTGTCTGAGTCTTGGGAGACAGAATACCTATGCACACAATAAGTTACAGGAATCTGGCTTGTTACTTACAGCTAGGCAGCAGAAAACAGAAGCCTGAAATTCATGTGAGCCAGTCCCCCAAGGCTTAGGAAAGCTGCCTGGGGCACACGGAGCCTCATCTGCACATGCCCACTTGCACCACAGCTGAGGACCCCCAGGAAGGCAGCCCATCCTGGGTTTTATACTCAAGGGAAACAAGAATCACTGAGCTAAAGCATTGAAGGATATCGTGTAGTGGGGGGACTGGAACAGGTCCCAGGATGTTGGATTCCCAGCACATTCTACAGTTATTCTTGAGAACTATAAGCCAGAAAACTGAAAGAACTGGGCCCAGTCCAAGACCTTGAAAACTGTCCTTCACTATACTTGTATTTTATGACTTGTTCTGAGAAGGTGCATGTGTGTGTGCGTGCGTGCATGTACCCATGTTCACATGCAGGGCATATAGGACAGCAGGAGTGGAGAGACTCCATAATCGTGCTCTTCACCTCAAATTAGAATCTGGCAAAAGATTGGACTTTCTGAAAATCAGGTAGGATAAGGGCTTCAGCCATTTTGGGTTGAGCACTAAAATTTCATGACACATTCTATCTGATGGAATTCTGTGCAACCTTAAAAGAAGGATGAGGCAATTCCAAAGTATTTTGTTTAGTGTGAAACTCAAGGTTCAAAAGAGTTTGTGTAAGAATAGGCGTGGTGGCTTACACCTAGAGTCTGAGCACTTTGGGAGGCAAAAGCGGGAAGATGACTTAAGCCCAGGAGTTCAAGACCAGCCTGGGCAACATGGCAAAACCCTGTCTCTACAAAAAAACAAAAAACAAAAAACAAAGAAGGAAAGAAAGAAAGAAAGAAAAATTAGGTGGCCATGGTGGTGTGTGCCTGTACCAGCCACCTGGGAGGCCAAGGTGGGAGAATTACTTGAGCTCAGGAAGCCAAGGCTGCAGTGAGCCATGATTGCACTGCTACACTTCAGCCTGGGTGACAGAGCAAGACACTGTCAAAAAAGAAAAAAAAAAAGTAGTAGGTCAAAAGAAGGGTGTAAAAATCTAAAAAGCATGAGATAGAATATCTTTAGGAGGATGTGCAAGGAAACAATGACATTGCCTGATTTCTGTAGGATCTGGGAAACCTGGGGGAAGGAGATGGAGATTTATTTTTAACCGTGTTTTTGTATTTTTTTAAAAAGTGTATATGTGTAGAGCTATTAAAAAATGCATGTTAGGCCAGGTATGGTGGCTCACACCTCTAATCTCAATGCTTTGAAGTTGAGATGGGAAGATTGCTTGAGACCAGAAGTTTGAGATCAGCGTGAGCAATACAGCGAGACCTCTATCTCTACAAAAAGATTTTTAAAAATTAGCCAGGAATGGTGGTAGGCGCCTGTACTCCAGGCCATTTGAGAGGCTGAGGTGGGAGGATCACTTGAGGCCAGGAGGTTGAGGCTGCAGTGAGCTGAGATTATACCACTACGCTCCAGCCTGGGTGATAGAGCAAGACCCTGTCTCAAAAACGAACAAACAAATAAATAAATAAATAAAATTAGCTGGGTGTGGTAGTGTGCACCTGTAGTCTCAGCTACTCAGGAGTCCAAGGCAGGAGGACTGTTTGAGCTCAAGAGGTTGAGGCTGTGGTGAGCCATTATCACACCACTGCATTTCAGAATTTTGAACATTGATTCCCTGGTCACTTGCTCCTTGTGTGCCTGGATCCTAGGCAAATAGAACAATCTGACTCCACTTTAAAATGGGTGAGTAGGACCCCCTCTCTAAAAGAGGGGTGGGGACTGACCAGCACACCCTACCAGTTGAACAATGCCTTCCCCTAGCAAATATTTATTGACCACTGACTGTGTAGCAAGTACTGTGTTAGGTACTGGGATATCTCAGTGAGCAAAACAGGCCAGGACTCTGCCCTTCTGAGGCTGATGTTCTCCTTGGGGGAGACAGACAGCATACACTGAATATGAACTGTGGCTCTCTCAGTGTCTCCAGGTAGAAGGGTCTCATCCTCACCTTCTAAAACATGTAATCTCACTTTTCAGAAGGACGAGGTTTAGTCCAGTAAAACTCTTGCATATCTTGTTTCACCTTGGCCCTCTCAAGCAGTGTCCCTAGGCCCCTGGCCTATCTGAGCTTCAGTTTCTCCACTGGTGAAATGGACATGGCTGTTGTAAGTATTAATAGAAGACTAGCGGTTCTAGCAATCACCCGAGGAGCCTGCTGGAGCTGTAGAGTCCTGGGCCCTGTTCCAAAGATTCTCATTCTGTGTGTCTGGAGTGGGTCCAGCAGTCTGTCCCAAGTCAATTGGAAGGTTGTGAGGCAGGTGGTTCTGGAAGGGACCACTCTGACCCCGCTCGGAGAGCACTGTGCTAGATGTTGAATGTGAAAGAAAGTGAAAGTGCTCTCTCAGTGTCAGCTGTGTTCATGCCAGGCACAAGGGCACCCGGGATTAACTATCTCTGGCCACGGTGTGGGCGGCCAGGAAAACAGCCCTCAGGTCTCCTGCTGTAGGGAAAATGATTGACTGACAGCTCCAGCTGCTGCCTTCTGAATCTACCTCTGTCTTTGTGCTGAGGTTGACCCCAGCTAATGACTAAGCAGGATGTGGCTGCTAATGCAGGCTCATTTCTACAAAACACAGATCTGCTGTCACAAAAGACTTTGGCCTGAGGAGTCCCCATTGGCCTGGTCAGAATATTCTAGAAACTGTGCTGCAGCCCGAGATTCTTCCTATGTAATCCTCTGTTTCCTGCCTGTTCTCTTTCACAGGTGTCAGATGTGCACCACAACCTAAAGGCTCTTCCTGCCTTCTCTAGCACCTTTTATTCTTTACAGGTGTTAGTCCGATAAATCTCTTGCATATCTTGTCTTATCTTGGCATCTTCTTCTCCGAGGACCTGAACTCATACACTCGGCTTCATCTCTAACATCAAGACTGCTTTCAGTAGTGACCTCTGCTGTGCCCTACTTATTGCCACACTCCTTCCTGGTTGCAGCAACACTTGAGCAGTGAGATCGTGCGCACAAGGGGAAGTAAGGGCTAGCCCCTCCAAAATAATCGTATCCTGTGTTCAGCCATGATGGCATGGTCCCAGTGCCTCTTCAGGAGTTGTTGCTGTAGAGTATCATTGCTCAGAGCATGGATTCTGAGGCTGGCTCATCCTGCTTTAAATCACAGCTCTGCATGATCTCAGGCAAATGACTTAAATTCTCTGTGCCCTATCAGCTGTGTAAAACACAAATGTTTGTACTTAATACACATTACTTAACTTCTGTCACAGAGAAGTAATTCGTACTTATCTGTGATTATTAACTGTGTAATTATCACAGTTAAGTAATTTTTACTTAATACAGTAGTTATTAATACCCTTTGATAATACTCACCTCAGAGAGTTATTGTTCAGAAAAGATGATCCTGGCCCTGCTGGTGGGCTGTCTGCCTAACAGCAATGTGTTATGATTTAGGGAATGGCAGACAAGTGCCCCGCCCTCTGCCCCAGCCCCACTGACGTGCCTAGAAATAGTTCTGTGTGGTTTCTGCCACTCCTTTGGGTGGAGAGGCCATATGGTGCTGGAACCACCTTGGTTCCAGGCCCGGCTCTGCCACTTCCACCAATGTGATCTCTATAGGTCATTTTCTTTTCTAATATTCAGTTTCTTTGTGAATTCAGGAAGCTGAACATCTCCAAAGTTGGACTTGACTTCTAGCCCCAAGATTCTACAAAATGACAGTACTCTCCAGAGGGAAACTTTATCTTCTTCCCTTCTGTCCATTAAATGGACACTTAAAATATATTATTATTTCAGTCCTGTGCTAGGCACTGGGGATTCAAAAATGAAAAGAGAAAGCCTTTGCTCTCAAGTCACTCAGAATCTTCTAGGGAGACACACATGTCCACAGATAATTCCAACACGCTGAGGGGTTTCTGGTCACCCAGAGATGAAGGACTTCTGCCTTGGTTATTAGTAACATCCTATCATGGGAAGTGGGAGAGGTGCAGGAAATAGTTTCCTGATCATGTTTGGCTCAAAGAGGAAGGACAGTGTGTTTCAATGCACTCTGGTTAACAAAAAAGAAAGTGTATTTATTTTCATTGAGAAGAAGAAACCGAAAACTCTGGCATTTAAATAAATAAGGAAGAATTTATTTTTCCTTTTCAGGTCATGAGGCTAGTTAATGATTAGTGAAATCCACGTGGGTGTTTTCTGAGAGGCTGGGTTATGTGATCTCTTTGGCTTTAGGGAATTACTCCATACCAGCTCTGAGATTTCCAGCTCAGCAATGCCCCCAGGTCCCTGGAAAAGCCGCTTCTGGGTGGGGGGCCTACTTTTGTGGCTCAGCGTTGGAAGTTCAGGTAAGCCAGGGCTCAGGCCTTGGGAGGAACTTATTTCAGCCAATGATCATGTATCTCCAACTACTTATGCAGTACCAACTTTTGGAAGGTCCCCTAAAAGCCTTTTGCCTCTTCTGAGGTGAATTTAAAAGAGTAGGGGGGGGGAAAAGAAAAACCCTTTTATCATAATCAGAATGATGGTAAACAGGTCACAGAACCTGAACTTTCCCTGGTTATCCGACTCATTTTTTCTAAAACCCACATAAAAAAAAAAACCCCTTTCACCTTGCACAAGCCAGGACCCACTGTAAGAAAATAAAATTTGGTTAATTCTAAGATATTCATTTTTCATTCCATAAATATCCACCATTCTAAGATATATTTAATTTTAAAATCTAAGTTTTCCAAACTAATAACGATTTTGTCACTGAGATTGTTAGATGTCCTTTCTAATCCGGCAACCTAACTCAAGTGGTTCGTCATCGCAGCTGGGTGATGGGAACTAGTCCCTGCTAACCCCAGATGCCCCTAGGAAAACTTCCCTCAGATGCCAATTTGCATTTATCTTTCCCCAGTAAAGAACTGACGCACTGATCCCACTTGCCTAACATAGCAAATTAACCTGCTCTGCTTTGGGTTTTCAGAAGTTCTCAGGAGACTTCTTCTCACTCTGGTGGTGACCTCACCCTTAGAAAAATCCCCTCCCTCTGCTCCCAACGCAGGCTGCTTTTCTTTCTTCTCTGCCGGACATTTAATTCTCATTCCCTGGCTCTAGAATATGTCATTGCTTCTGCCTGGAGTTGCTCACATCACCTTTGGATTGATTTCTGTTCTTTGCATCTTCCAAGGGGGTTTCTGTATTCCTATCTCCCTTGTATTCATTATTTTTCTGCTCAACACCCCTCCCTGCTACAAAGTTCCACTTAGGTGACTGCATGCTCTCCTTGCAGTCATGGGTGGTTTCTCAGAGGTGCTGTTGAGCTCTGTATGTGCTTTCTCCTACCTCAATTATTTGTTCCGAAAAGGCGAGGATTTGAGGTTTCTGTCTCTTTTAGCATACTTAGCGCTGTGCTCTGTATACCGCAGATGTCCAGTGAATGTTGCTGCATTGCTGCTTAGAGGAGGCAATGGGTTGAGCTGATGGGAAGTAGGCTCTGTCTGGGTCAGGCTAACCCTGACTGGAATCCTGGCTCTGTTTCTTTGTAGCTATGTGACCTTGAGGAAGTGGCTTTCTTTACCTGTAGTTGGAGATGATCCTTACCAGATAGGAATGCTGTAAGGACTGAATGAGATCATCTGTGCACAGGGTCTGACTTTTGCAGTTGCTTATTCCCTTATGATTTTATTATTAGCAAATGGTTGTCTAGGCTGATGGAAGTGGAGGGAGCAGGGCTGTCATGAGCCACCTTGGAGAGAAGGTGGGAGGTATCACCTGGGAGAGCTGTGGGTCCCGTTCTGAGAAGTGGGCTTGGCAGGCCCACTTTGTCCCTGCTGAGGAGCCCCAGGCCTCCTTAGGGGCTGGAAGGCATTTGCTAGTTGTCCTGATTTGAAGGTTGAGGAGTGGGAGGACTAATAGTAAATTGGCATCAAACTCTTTTTGGAAGCTCATCTGTCCGGTAAGCCTGGGGTCTCTGTCACACAGATAAGAGAAGCTCAGAAATTCAGAACCAGGTAGCAGGGTTAGGGTCAGGGCAGAAGCTGATCAGGTTCCATCCACATATGTAGGAACCCCTCTAGATGCTCTGGGCAGGAAGTGGGCTTATGAAAACATGTTAGCAGGACCTGGGTGTTTCCTTGCCCTGTCCTCTTGCCTTTGTCTCTGGTGTCTTTCTTTTCACACTTACCCAGTGAGGTATTCTCTATTTCCCATTTGCTTCTCTTCCTTTCCCACTGTCAACAGCAATAATATTTATTAAGTTAATGTTCCTTATTCTTACTTTTAGCAGTGCTATCTCAGAAAGTAAGTAAGTTGATGGATAGGCAGAGATAGAAGTGTGTCTGTGTGTGTATGTGTGTGTGTGTGTGTGGCTGGCAGGGATAGAAATATGCCAAAGGGAAAAGGAAAAAGGATATAATGTCTTCAGACAGCCTAGATGAAGTAGGTGGAAATAAAGAGGATGCCGGATGCAGAGAGCTCAAGGTAAAGGAAAGGAAGAGCTCAAATAATCGGGAGGGAGGAGGTTCAGGAGGTATCCAGGTGCCTGCTGTCACACAAGGGCAGTAGCTGACCCACATGGGCCTCTTGGAAGTTCAGCCTCCACTCACTTTCCTGACTGTGTGCCCACACAATCTTTCATGGCAACCCCAGTCACACCCAGCTTTTCCTTGGACTATGGAGCTTGAGATTGTTGAGCTCCTTGATCAACCTGGCCCTTGAGCTTCCAGGCCGGCTCAGGCGTCCTCTCCTCCAGATGGGTGCACAAGTCTTCCTCCATCTGGGGTAGATGGCCTTTCTGTGTGTTCTCTCAGTACCTATGTTTCCTGGTCAAGATCTTACATCCCTATTTGCTATGGGGCTTCTGGCTTATTTTCCCCGTCTCCACTAGACTTTGAGCTCCCAAAGGACAGTTATGGCTGGCGTCTTCTTCATCCTGGAATCCCCAGAGCCTCACCTAGGCCCTGACACACAGGACACATTCAATAAGCCAAAGGTCTTGGTAACTGAGAAGAAAGACATTGAGCGGGCTGCAGTCCTCATCTCTACTTCCTGACATTAGGGCAGATTGATTAAATGACACTCATCCTGAAACAATTCAGCCAAAGAAGGGTTCCAGAGGTTGGCCCATTTCAAAGACACTCCTGGCTCCTGATGCCTCAATCCACAGGTCATCTGATAGCACAGCTCTGTCTGTGGGGAGCCCAGGGCTCAAGGGGGTGGCAGGAAGTTTAGGGGCCCGTAGTGCTGAGCTGGCGGCAGAGACAGCTGAGTAGAAGCAGCCTGTGACACCAGCCTCTCCAAGGCCAGCCTGGACCTGAAGGTGGTACTGCACCCTGCATGCATGGCAGAGCCACTCTCAAGTCAGCTACTGGGAGGGGGCCTCCGCCCTCCTCCCCTCCTGCAGTGTCCTCCCGAGGAGCCTGGAGAAGGGCACCCGCTTCCCTACACATGCACCAATGGTTCCTCTGTCATCTCCACATTTGATAAAGTGTCTGATATGGTTTTGTGCCAACTCTGTCACTGCCAGAGCACCCATCCGTTCTTGGTCCAGGTCACACAATCAAAACTGTTTTAGCAAAATAACACTTCTATGAAACAAAAGCACATAGGGGATACCAATCTACAGAACACAGCTGAGAGAGGTGCAGGTGGCAGCGTAGAGGAGCACATTTCCAGCATTTACAGATCACAGAGGCCACCCATGGGAACCACGAGCATCCCAGGAGGGTGAAGGGAGCTCTGTCATATATGTCTGAGAGTCACTTCCCATTATGGTAACATGGGTGTTACCAGGCTTTATTCACCCTTCTCTAACGCTTCTTCAGTGTCAAAGATTCAAGAACAGAAAACTATAGACTCTTTTCAGACTCAGACAAGCCAGTATTTCATTCTTCACCCCTCCTTTCTATTGTTTGTAAACCTCTGGTCAGCCTGGCCAGATACTCAGCTGTCACTGTTCTTTGGTTGGAGTGGTGGCTAGGTAGAGTCAGTATCTGAATTTGCTTCCCTATTTTATCAGTTTCAAATATTGGCAATTTTCTTCTCTCCCTTTTCAAACTTTATAACTTTTATCCCATTGTATTGTCTTGTTTCAGTGGTTAGGACTAGGACCTCTAGCACAATATTTAACAGAAGCAGTGGTAGCAGACATTTCTCATCTGTTCCCAGTTCTAGATGGAATACTTCTAATGTTTCCCAGTAAATCTAATCTTTACTATAGGCTTTTAGTAGATATCCTTTCTTATGTTAAAGAGTGTTGAATTTTGTCAAGCGTTCTTTTTTTCTGCTCATCCATTGAGATGAGCATATGATTTTTCTTCTTTAGTTTGTTCATATGTGAATTGCATTAGTACTTTTTCTAATGTTAAAATAAACTTTAATTCTTTGCAAAGAATTGACCCAGCAAACCCTGCTGGGCCATGATATACTTTGTGGTCTTGTTATCCCGGATGGATTTAGATTTGCTGATATCTTATCTTAGATTTCTGTTTATGTTCATACATGAAAGTAGCCTTTAGTGTTTCTTCTCGCCTGTCCTTGTGCAGTTTTGGTATGTTGGATATTCTCATAGAATGAACTGGAATCCTGTCTCCCATTTTCTATTCCTGGAACAGTATGTGTAAGCTAGGGATTGCTGGATTTATAGAATTCCTCTGTAAAACTCTCAGGCTTCTTAGACTTTTTTGAGGGATAGTTTTGAAACTAGTGTTTCAATTCCTTTATGCTATAGTTTTACATTTGATTTTCTGTTTTTCCTTTCTTGACTAAGTTTTGGTAAGTTACATTTTTCTAGGAAATTATCCATTTTCTAGCAAAATATCAGTATTTTCAGTTTTGGGGTACATATAAACTTTTTTATGGTTTAAGGAAATCTACTGTCTGTATTTATATCCCCTTTTTATTCCTGATATTGTTTACTTGTACCTTCCCTTTTTTCTCTTATTCTGTCTTATCAAAAGTACATCCAGCTCATTATTCTTTTTCAAGAGCTAGTTTTGAGTACTGGCTCTTCGTGTGTGACAGCTACTTCTTTAGGCAGTAGAGTGAATAAAATGGATTTTAAAAATCCCTGCTTTGTTCAAAAGTACATTCTAATGTGGACTGACCACCAATAGACAATAGTATAATAACTTGGCAAATTCCATAGTAGATTAGAAGGTGATGATTGCTAACAAATAGACCAGGGTAAGGAAGATTGAGAGAAATGAGGTGAGGAACACAAGCAGGTTACAACTGAAACAGGATGTGAGAATAGAGAAGAGAGCACTTGACAAGCAAAGACTTGAAGGAGGGGAAGGAACTGCCATGTAGATACATAAGGGAAGTGCATTACAGGCAGAAGGAATGGCCGGGCAAAGACCCTCAGGCAGGAAGCCATCTAGAGTGAGGAAGGGCCAGGAGAATAACTGGCTGCAAAAGTGAGTGATTTTAGCATAAGGCAAAGGACTCTTGGAGTGGGGTGGATTAGCTCAGTTAGGGCCTTACAGTCCATTGTTAGGACTTCAGGTTTCTATCTGAGTGAAAAGGCTTGGACACTTTTGCACAGAGATGTAACGTGACTCGACTGACTTAAAGAAAAATCTTGACTGCTGTGTTGCAAATAGACTGAAGGGGCCAAAAGAGAGGGCAAGAAACGCGTTGCAGGCTATGGCAGTGGTTGTGAGAGACGATGATGGCTTGGACCAAGGTGGTGAGAAGGGTTAGATTCCGAATATTTCATTCTGATGTTCAAGCTAACAGAACTTACCAATTGTATGTGGGAAGTGAGAGACAGGAAAGAGTCAAAGACATCCCAGGCAACTTTGCAAAGCCTGAGAAATTGTAATGACTAGTTGCTACCAATGTTGCTCATATTTCCTTATTTTCTATTTCTTCCATTTCAACTATTACCTTTATATTTCTTTCCCTATATTTTATTTATTTTATTTGGGATTACTGTGGTATTCTTTTCTGAGTTAAAATATTAACTTATTTAATCTAAGTCTTTCCCTTTTCCCCCCTAACATTTGCATGTAAGGTTATACATTTTTCCCTATTAAAAGGTAAACTTATGCGCATTAAAATTTTAAAGAGATTATTTGAACAAACAGTGATTCATGGTTTGGGCAGCTTCACATTGCAAGTGGCTCAGGGCTCCACCAAAGGGGTATGAGGAAGAAATTTTATAAGGTGCCTATGGAGCAAGGCAAAGAAAATATTTGATTGATTAAAGTGGAGCAGTACCTTAAGGTCCCTAGGTTAGTTGGCAGCTTCTGAGTGCTAAAGCTTAAGCCTCATAGGACATAGCTGTTCACTATGAGTTGAGGTTTGGTGAGCTTCTATAGGAACTCAAGCACTAGAGCTGCCTCAGTCTAATGGCTTCCCAGGTAATTATTTTAACAACCCAAGTGCTGTTTTAGCCACTCTTTGCAAGTTTTGATATGTGTTGATTTTATTGTCATTTAGTTTTTAATATTCTGTAGTTTTCATTGTGATTATTCTTTAACCCATACATTCCTTAAAAGGTTAAAAGGGTGTTTTTCTGTGGGTAGGAGTGTAAATTAGTATAGCCACTATGGAGAACAGGATGGAGGCTCCTCAGAAAACTAAAGATAGAACTTCCATATGATCCAGCAATTCCACTACTGGGTATATATCCAAAAGAAAGGAAAGGAAGTCAGTATATCAAAGAGATATCTGCACTTTCATGTTTATTTCAGCACTGTTCACAATAGCCAAGATATAGAACCAACCAACCTAAGAACCCATCAACAGATGAATGAATAAAAAAAAGAAGATGTGGTATATATACACAAAGGAATACTATTCAGCCTTTAAAAAGAAGGAAATCCCGTCATTTGCAGCAACATGGATGGAACTGGAGGCCATTATGTTAAGTGAAATAAACCAAGAACAGAAAGACAAATATCACGTTTTCACACATATGCAGGAGCTAAAAAGGTGGATCCATGATGACAGAGAGTAGTAGATTGTGGATCCCAGAGGCTGAGAAGGGGAGAGGAGTTGGGAATGAAGGGGAGAAAAGAATATATGTGTATTTATTACCACTGAACTGTACACTTAAAAAAGGTAAAGATGATAATTTATATATTCTTTTACCTGAATATAAAAAATTTTTAAAAATCTTGAACAAGTTTCAGCAATATATGTCCATGAGGAATTGTGCCCAGGAGCTTCTCTTTGTGTGGGCTGGTAAAAATACCACAGGCACATGGGATGGGCTTGTCTTATTGGAAAAAATGGGAGGGGGTGTTTTTACATTTCCAAATGTATATTAAAATAATTTTTGTTATTGATTTCTAGTTTTATTACATTTTATTTAGATGATATTGATTCTTTGGTGATTATTTGGGCCTGCTTTGTGCCATATTATGGTTATTTAAAAGGACTCAGACTCTCTGATGGATGCAGGCTTCCCTATGTGAACAACAGAGCAGATTGACTCATTAATGTGGTTCACGTCTCATGCTGAAGCACAGTCCTTTCATCTTTTCTTTAAAGAGCCAAACGCTGGGGGAGGCTGATAAAAGGATGGAGTCAGGCATTAGCTCTCTCATGTGCTGTGGGAGTTCAAGCCGCAGGCTGAAGAGCTTAGGGCTCGCACTCTCAGAGTGGGCTTCTTCCCAGGAGCCTCCAAACCTGTCTGCTTGGTCTGGCTCTGCAAGGGGATTGGGGATAAAGTCTGGGGCTCAGAAGCAGTGATGGAGAAACCTCTAGTCTACCTCAGCGATACTCCAGAAGGCCTCGTGGCTTGAGGTATTCTCCACACTCATAGCACCATATACCAGAGCATCCCAGATCCACACCCCGGTTGTATATGGGCTCCCAGTTACCTCTGATAGCAGATGATCACTCCAGAAACCTAAAGTTACATCTTCTTTGACAAAGGGGCCCACACAAACCAAAGTCTGCAATCCGGACCTCTCCTCTGAACCTCTGATTCTGTGAATCACTTTGTCTGGTGGCAGCAATGCTGTGTGGGGCTCTGTTCTGTGGGTCAGCGTGCACCCTGCTGCTCCTGCCAGTCTCCCTGTGGGATGCATGGAAGTCAGGGACCACACCTCTGCATCACAGAAGTCGGGGTCAGGGTGGGATGCTAGGTATTGAAAATGGGCCAGATTTTCAGCTCCCTGGGAAGCAGGAGTTTCACGTTGCCTTTTCTGTTCAGTGTTTTTTAAAGGCCTGCCGTTATCTTGGCCAGAGAATTTCCATTGTAAAGGTATCTATTGTAAGGTGCTGTGAAGTAGATGGGGCTTGTTAAGGCTCTTCTCTACCATCTCTCTAGGCCATGGGCTGGGCACTGGAAGGCTATGGCAGGGCTCTTGACTGCTCATAAGGACAAGAAGTGATTAGGCGGGGCTAAGGTGTTGGAAATCCTTCTGGGACAGAGTGTTCAGACTAGAGTGAGGCTAGTCCCCAGGGCAACTGTTCATTTGGCTGACCAGGGTTCTATTTAGACTTCTCTACTAGTTTGCTAGGAATGCCATTATGAAGTGCTGTGGACTGGGTGGCTTGAACAATGGAAATGTATTGCCTCACAGTTCTGGAGGCTGGAAGTCTGAGATCAAGATGTTGGCAGTGTTAGTTCCTTCAGGGCAATGAGCAAAGGATCTGTTCCAGGCCCCTGCCCTTAGCTTGTAGATGGCCACTGTCTCCCTGTGTCTTTACATTGTCTCTCCTCTGTCTGTGTCCAAATTTCCTCTTTATATAAAGACAATAGTCATATTGATTTAGGCCCACTCTGTTGCACTCCTTTTAACCTTTGTAAAGGCCCTACCTCCAAATACTGTCACATTCTGAAGCATTGGGGGTTAAGATTTCAACATATGAATTTTGGGGGATGAGACTCAGTTCAGCCCAGAACAACAGCCATTTCACCATGGCCTTTAAGCTCATCTAGTTGAGCAATATCTCTTCTCTGGTATTTTGTCCTCAGGCATGAAAAATATTCACAGAGTTTCATTACAGAAGGGATGCAGGCTGTAATAAATGAGTGATTATTACACTAAGTGATGTATAATAAACCCCATGACTGCAGGCCCCTGTTTCTTGCTTCCTTCCAAGGTTGTCTTTCTTCCTTCTAAGAACAGATGACCTCACCTTTGGATGTTTCTCGTTTGTTTTATTTTCCTCCAGGGGATGCACCTCCTACCCCACAGCCAAAGTGCGCTGACTTCCAGAGCGCCAACCTTTTTGAAGGCTCCGATCTCAAAGTCCAGTTTCTCCTCTTTGTCCCTTCGAATCCTAACTGTGGGAAGCTAGTAGAAGGAAGCAGTGACCTCCAAAACTCTGGGTTCAATGCCACTCTGGGAACCAAACTAATTATCCATGGATTCAGGTGGGAGTTAACTAACCAACAGGACCTCTCAGCTACGAATGATCAAGTAACCATAATACCATAAGAAGTTAGTGGGGAACAAGAGGAAGAATGAGTTTACCAAAGGTCACATGTTCCATCCCTCATGTCCTGCTGTCTTTGATGGGTCTCATGTCAACATGCACACATAGTGTTCATTCTTATTGGTCATGTATCGTACTTCCCCAGCCAGTCTTGTCTACACACTCACAAACAGTACATGTCTGTGACTCTGGACAAATCTCCATACACAGAGCCTTTATTACCCAGGGTTGTATTTCCCCTTCTTCACTTCTTCCCTGGTTTTATGACCTAAGAAACTTCCATTTGTGGGTGCCACTTCCATCATACCCAGAGGTTATGGGTGTGATGGAGCTATGTAGTTCTCTTCTTCAATTTCTCTGACACTCTCCAGTCCACATTTTGTTGTAATATACAGTCACTGAGTCTCAATTCCAAACACCATCCTTTCTTTGAACAGCTTTTCTCCAAAGCCCATCAATAAGCCCAGAAATAGAGAAAGGTTTATGGGAGGAAAGAGGGAGAGAATATGGTAAAGTAACAGCACCATGGAGCAAGTAGAGTTCGGGGCACCCAATGAAAAGGTAGACACAAAGGCCATGCACAAAGGACCACCATTTCCTGATCTCTGGCCTGTCTCTGCCTCTCAGATCCCTGGACTCCAAGGACTCAGCCACGTTTCCTTAGGCTTCTCTTCTTGCTTCCTTGCTCTTGTGCCAAAGCCTCTCCTCTAGCAAAGCTTACATTCGACCACTTTCCAAGGCTGAGTGTGTATCTCCAACCCAGGGATAGCTAATAGAGGTGGAGAGCTCGTCAGGCGAGGCACTCTGTCTGCTCTTAAATCCCGCAACCCCATTCTCTGGCACACACCCAGTCTGCATTCCTCTGCCCGCATGAGCGTGCTCTCTTTGCTTCTATACTGGGAGCCATCAAAAAACTTATTTCCTGATCCCAATCTGTTGGGAAAGATTTCTAAACATTTTTCTATCATTTTCCTTTTCCTGGAAAACTCCCATTATACTGTAAGTTCCAGAAGGATAGGGACGATATCTTATTTGTCTTTATTTTTTGGAAAGCACCTAGTATACTGCCTGGCCCATAGATACTCAATAAATGTTTGTTGAATAAATCGATGGGTGAATGAGAGAAAGAAACAAAGAAGGAAGGAAAAAGAAAGAAAGAGAAAGGAAGAAAAGAAAGGAAAGGAAGGGAAAGGAAAGGAAGGAAGGGAGGGAGGGAGAGAGAGAGAGAGAAAAAAAAAGAAAGAAAGAAAGAAAGAAAGAAAGAAAGAGAAAGGAAGAAAAGAAAGGAAAGGAAGGGAAAGGAAAGGAAGGAAGAAAGAAAGAAAGAAAGAAAGAAAGAAAGAAAGAAAGAAAGAAAGAAAGAAAGAAAGAAAGAAAGAGAAAGAAAGAAAGAAAGAAAGAAAGAAAGAAAGAGAAAGAAAGAAGAAAAAAAGAAAATGTCCACAAAGAAAGAGCCTATATTTTAGAATGAGAATTAAGATTGCAAATCTTAACTCTAGGGCACAAAGCTATCTTTTCCTTTCCACAAATAACACAAATGGAGCGATGCAATGTATACAGTTTATGTGGTTTATGTATTGTGCAAAGGTGCCTGACAAAAGGCTGATGGGGCTGAAATCCAACCTGAGTTCTGAACCCTGGCATGAGGCTGCCTCTACCTGGAACAAAAGGCAAAGTTTTATAATTTACACAAAGACTGCATATGTGCTGGCGGAAGGGCTGACAACTTTGGAATTGTGTCCTCCCTATGCTCCAAGTGCTGTGTAATAAACTCCTCTAGTTTTGACTTCTTTTCTGGGTTTGGGATTAATAGAGGTTTTACATGACAATGAATATCCACTTGGTGGGTAATTTCTCCATCCGTTTTTGGGCCCCTCTCTAGGGTTTTAGGAACAAAGCCTTCCTGGATTGATAAATTCATTAGAACTCTTCTGCGTGCAACGAATGCTAATGTGATTGTCGTGGACTGGATTTATGGGTCTACAGGGGTCTACTTCTTAGCTGTGAAAAATGTGATTAAGTTGAGCCTCAAGATCTGCCTTTTCCTCAATAAACTCCTGGTAGGTGCAGAAGAGCTTCAGGTGAGTTTGGGCTGCATATGAGGAGAGAGGGTCAGAAAGACGAAAGCACTGCCTGAGGAGGCTTAGGGTGGAAACAGAGTCACCGGGTAGCTTGGTGGTCTTGGGTTCAAATCTTGACTTTGCCACTCACAGCACTGACCTTAGGCAGGTTATTGAACATTCTGAGCTTCCCGCTGCTCCTCTGTAAAATGTGTCATGGCACATTGGACAGCGAATGCAGATGGCCTGGCACTTAGTTGTCCCTCAAGAGAGAATGGCCGTGGTCATTACTCACATACTTTGGGCACCAAAAGGAGAGTGAGTGGGTTGTCAGGGTGGGAAGCCCAGGAAGAGAAGAAGTGATTAATGATGAGAGTGCTGTCCATTTTCCCTCCAAAGTAAGTGTGGTGGTTCTGTCATGCCCAGGGCCTCGGCTTCTGAAGCTTTCGGGGAAAGCCTGCCACTGCGAAGCCAGCAGACTCTGTGGCCCACGGGGAGCTCACTGCCCCTGCTCTTCTAGGTGCTGGGTGTGTCGGAATCCTCAATCCACATCATTGGTGTTAGCCTGGGGGCCCACGTTGGGGGCATGGTGGGACAGCTCTTCGGAGGCCAGCTGGGACAGATCACAGGTAACATTCATCCCTGCCCATCCTCCAGGCTTTAGAGATAGAAAAGCTTTCCCTGAAAATGTCTCTTCTAAGGCAAGCAGAGGGGAGTACGGAGCCTTTGTTCTTACAATCAAGTCACCTATTACCACTAAAATGTATTTATTGTGGTTCTTTTGTATAAAATGGTGTGTGTTATTATTGCATGATTTCTAATATCAATGTGAGAGGCCATGTATTTCTTTTTTCACTTTTTATTTTTAAATTTCTTATTTAAAAAATTTTATTTTAGATTCAGGGTTTACGTGTGCAGGTTTATTACATGGGTATAGCATGCAATGCTGAACTTTGGGCTTCTAATGATCTCGTTGCCCAAGTAGCAATCAGTACTTGATAGGCAGTTATTCCACCCTTTCCCCTTGCTTTTCCTCCTCCTTTTGGAATCCCCAGTGCCAATCGTTCCCATCTTTGTGTCCATGTGCACCCAATGTTTTGTTCCCACTTGTAAGTGAGAACATGCAGTATTTGGTTTTCTGTTTCTGCATTAATTGGCTTAGGAAAATGACCTCCAGCTACAATCATGTTGCTGCAGAGGACATAATTTCATTCTTTTTTATAGCTGTGTAGAATTCCATAGGGTATGTGGACCACAGTTTCTCTATCCAGTCTACCATTGGTGGGCACCTGGGTTGATTCCATGTCTTTGCTATTGTGAATAGTGTTGCAATGAACATACTAGTGCAGGTATCCTTTTGGTAGAAGAAATTCTTTTTGTTTGGGTATATATCTAGCAACGAGATTGCTGGGTCAAATGGTGATTTTATTTTTAGTTCTTTCTGGAATCTTCAGATTGCTTTCCACACTGGCTGAACTTATTTACATGCCCACCAACAGTGTATAACTATTCCCTTTTCTCTGCAACCTTGCCAACATCTATTTATTTATTTTCTACTTTTTAATAGTGGCAATTCTGACTGGTGTGAGGTGGTATATCATGGTGTGATGATTAGTGATGGTGAGCATTTTTTCATATGTTTGTTAGCCACTTGTATGTCTTCTTTCAAGAAGTCTCTTTTCATGTCCTTCACCCTCATTTTAATGGGGTTGTTTTTTCTTGTTGATTTGTTCAAGTTCCTTATAGATTCTGGATATTAGTCCTTTGTCAGATGCATAGTTTGTGAATATTTTCCCCCATTCTGTAGGTTGTCTGTTTACTCCATTGGTTGTTTCTTTTGCTGTGCAGAAGGTCTTTAGTTTAAGTCTCACTTGCCAATTTTTGTTTTTGTTTCATTTGCTTTTGAGGACTTGGTCATAAATGCTTTGCCTAAGGCTAATATTCAGGAGAGTATTTCCCAGATTTTCTTCTAGGATTTTTATAGTTTGAGGTCTTACATGTAAGTCTTTAATCCTTCTTGAGTAAGTTTTGTATATGGTGAGAGCTATGGGTCCAGAATCATTCTCCTGCATATGGTCAGCCAGTTTTCCCACACCATTTATCGAATAGGGTATCTTTTTCTCTAAAAAAAAGTGTTAATTTTTGTCAACTTTGTCAAATGTCTGATGGTTATAGGTGTGCTTCTTTATTTCAGTGATCTCTATTCTGTTCCATTGGCCTATGTATCTATTTTTGTACCAGTACCATACTGTTTTGCTTACTGTAGGCTTATAATGTAGTTTGAAATTGGGTAGTGTGATGCATCCAGCTTTATTCTTTTTGCTCAGGATTGCCTTGGCTATTTGGGCTCTTTTTTTTGTGCCATATAAATTTTAGAATAGATTTTTATAATTCTGTGAAAAATGACATTGGTAATTTGGTAGGGATTGAATCTGTAGATGGCTTTGGGCAAAATGGATATTTTAATGATATTTATTCTTCCAACCCTGCATAGAATACAGAATACTTTGGCAAATATTATGCAAAAGCATAGAATATTTTTGCATTTGTTTGTGTCACCTGTGTTTTTTTTTTTTTTTTTTTAGCAGGGTTTTAGAGTTCTCCTTGTACAGATCTTTCGCTCTTTTGGTTAGGTGTGCTTCTAGGTACTTTATTTTTGTGTGTGACTATCATAAATGAGATTGCATTCTTGATTTGGCTCTCAGATTGAATGTTCTTAGTGCATAGAAATGCAACTGACTTTTGTACATTGATTTTGTGTCCTGAGACTTTGCTGGAGTTGTTTTTCAGGTCTAGAAGTCTTTTGGTCAAACATTTAGGGTTCTCTTCATTGATGAAGAGAGACAATTTGACTTCCTCTTTTCCTATTTAGATGCCTTTTATTTCCTTCTCTTGCCTGATTGCTCTGGCAAGCACTTCCCTTTCTATTTCTTTCTGAGCCTCAGTTTCTACATCTGTAAAATAGTGGTAACAGCCCACATCTCCTTGGCCCACTGTGGAAATAAACTTTACACAGTTTTGCTATATACATGTAAAAGTGTGGAGGACTTTATGCTTCCAGAGCCACTCTCAGTTAATAAGGGACTGGAGTTGTATGGCAAAAACCCTCAGCTTCCTGGCCTTTCAGTGGGACAATTCTGGGTCTTGTTTTACAGAATCTCACAGAGGCACTCCAGTGGGGTGAAAGCCCATGGGGATATCCTACTCACTACTATTTTCCTTTATTTCCTGACCTGCTTTCCCACTCCCTCACCATGCTTTCCGAGACTTTCTCCCAAATCTACCTTGAACTCTTGTGGCAGGGTCTGCTTTTTGTAGGGGAAAGGAAGAGATCCAAACTGAGACATGGGAATAGTAGTATTCACAGTAATCACTGTGTTATGGTGAGGACTACAGTGTGTAAAACTGCCTGGCATAAAGCCTGGTCCATAGTTACTGCTCGAAGAAATTGTAGCTATTGCTGTTACTACATGAAGGCAGTAACAAGCTTTACATTATATTAACTTCTATCAAATAATTGGTGTTATCAAGCTCTTCTTTTTTTTTTTTTTTTTTTGAGATGGAGTCTTGCTCTGTTGCCCAGGTTGGAGTGGAGTGGCATGATCTCGGCTCACTGCAACCTCTGCCTCCCGGGTTCATGCCATTCTCCTGCCTCAGCCTCCCTAGTAGCTAGGACTACAGGCACCCGCCACCACGCCCGGCTAATTTTTTGTATTTTTAGTAGAGACGGGGTTTCGCCATGTGAGCCAGGATGGTCTCGATCTCCTGACCTCGTGATCTGCCAGCCTCGGCCTCACAGAGTGCTGGGATTACAGGCATTAGCCACCACGCGCAGCCTCAAGCTCATTTTAGATCCAGAGAAACTGGGTCATTGAGAGGTTACCTCTAGAGAGACAACAGAGAGTGGGGTTTCCTGAGGAAGATGGTCCTCAGCTAATTCTCCCAACCCTTGGGTCTTTTCAGGGAGGCTCTATGATCTGCACTGGAAGTGGTGGGTGTGTGGTGGGTCCATGAATGTTCCTGCAGCTGAGAGGAAAGTGGTCCCTCATATCAGTCTCTTCTCACAGGCCTGGACCCCGCTGGACCTGAGTACACCAGCGCCAGTGTGGAGGAGCGCTTGGATGCCGGAGATGCCCTCTTCGTGGAAGCCATCCACACAGACACTGACAGTGAGCTGGGGTGACCTTCCTGGGGTGAGGGAATGAGCTCAAGGCAGCGCCTAGGAGGCTGGCATCTAGCTGTGTGACCCTGGGCAGAGATGCCCTGTCCCCTCTCTGAGATTCTGCTGCACAGTGAGGAGTTTACCAAAATGATATTGAAAGTCTCTTCCAGCTCTGTCTCTGTGACCACTGAGGTGAATGGTTGTATTTTTAGCCACCATAGGCAGGAGGATTCTCACTCACAGACCAAATGTACTTGGTTATGAGTCTCACTTTTTGATTCAAACGAATGCAGCAACAACAGTGTGCTAAGCAGTACTGGGTAGGGCATTGCTGTCTGGCTGACTTATGGGAAAGTCATGAATAGGATAGGATAGGTGTGCCTGGTCCCAAGGGATTGGGCCCCCGCAGGCAGGCAGGCGTGTCACAACTTCCCTCCTCCCCAGATGACAAGCTTGGCCCTTCAGTCCAGTGGAGAATAAGAATCCCTCTTCTGGGCAGGGCGCGGTGGCTCACGCCTGTAATCCCAGCATTTTGGGAGGCCGAGGTGGGTGGATCATGAGGTCAGGAGATCAAGACCATCCTGGCTAACACAGTGAAACCCCGTCTCCACTAAAAATGCAAAAAATTAGCCAGGCGTGGTGGCAGGCACCTGTAGTCCCAGCTGCTCGGGAGGTTGAGACAGGAGAATGACGTGAACCCAGGAGGTGGAGTTTGCAGTGAGCTGAGATCGCACCACTGCACTCCAGCCTGGACAGAGAGAGAGTCTGTCTCAAAAAAAAAAAAAAAAAGAAAGAAAGAAAAAGAAAAAGAAAAAGAAAAAGAATCCCTCTTCCAGTAGTGACAGGCACAGGAAAGATTCTCCAACTCTCAACCCGTTATGACCAACTTAAGTTCTTCTGCCCAGTTGGGAAAGGCGGGGGCATTCCTCTTCATTTCTGCTCCACAGCCAATGCCCATGAGGTCTGTGCTTAGTGTGGTAGGTGCAGGGAGAAATAACATCTGTCCCTGACTAGAGGAGCTTGCAGCTCAAGTGAGAGATGTCCATGTCTCTTTTCCTGTGGTCAGAAGTCTCTTTTTGGCATTTAAGACTCATGATTCTGAAAGAAACACACGCAGTTATATTGTCCAACCCTTCTTCCCACCTTTGTTTCACAGATAGGAAACCAAAGCCCACAGGCCTCATCCTAGCTATATTAGGTGAGTTAAGCTTGTTCATTTAAAAAGTGAATCCTGGCCAGGCACAGTGGCTCACGCCTGTAAGTCCAGCACTTTGGGAAGCTGAGGCGGGCAGATCACGAGGTCAGGAAACCGAGACCATCCTGGCTAACACAGTGAAACCCAGTCTCTACTAAAAAAAAATTCAAAAATTTAGCCGGGTGTGGTGGCAGGTGCCTGTAGTCCCAGCTACTCGGGAGGCTGAGGCAGGAGAATGGCGTGAACCCAGGAGGTGGACCTTGCAGTGAGCAGAGATCCGGCCACTATACTCCAGCCTGGCTGACAGAGCGAGATTCCGTCTCAAAAAAAAAAAAAAAAGTGAATCCTTTCTATCCTTAAATTTGCTACATATGTGACTTATTAGGTACCCATTTATCTAAGCGAGGCCTCTCAGGCCCCTTCAAAGTTGGAGCCTCTCCCTGATGTGACTTAAAAAGAAAAAATTATATTTATTCAATCACTATTTATTAAGCTGCGTGGCAGGTGCTGAGAATTTAGCAATGATCAACACATTGAATGAGGTCCCTGCCTACATGGAGCTTACAGGCTACATGGACCATAGGAGTCACCAAGGGAAGCCCGGACGCCCATTAGAGAGTGTCTGCAGTAGGGGTCCGGGTGAGAGATGATGGTGACTTGGGTAAAGGTGGTGGCAGTAAAGACAGAGAGAAGTAGACAGATTCAAAATATGTTTTGGAAGTAGAGTTGACTAGACTCGTGAAGGGCTGCATGTGGGGTATGCGGGAAAGGCAAGACTCAAGGGTGGCTTCTAGGTCATTGCTTAACCTCCAGGTCGATGGCAGTAAGCAAATAATACACAATCATTTTCTTCCAATAGTGACAGGTGATAGGAAGGAGAAGGTCGGGGTCTTCAGCAGCTGGGCCTGAGCCAGTCTGAGGGCTCAAGTCTGCCACAGTGGAGCATCCAGGAGTTGGTCACAGGGACAGAATGAGGGCAGAAGATGCTCTCTTACCTCAGCTCTGGAGCCGTGTCCTATTTCCACTCAGGAGAGCACAAAGATATGTTTTAGGGGGGACTGTGGAAATGTGACCCCAAACATGTTTACCTGAACTATTACTCAAAAGGAAACTGATACTACTCAATGAGGAAATTTACCAAGTTTATAACATTTACTGAGTTACAAAACTTTGTGTTACAGGATATTTTTCTTGATTTTCTTAGGCAAATATGAGCATCTTACCAACTGAATCTCTTTGGTTCCTTTTAGCATGAAAAATCCCTTTAGAAAACTGAGAGGCTGAGGTGGGTGGATCAACTGAGGTCAAGAGTTTGAGACCAGCCTGACTAACCTGGTGAAACCCTGTCTCTACTAAAAAAAAAAAAAAACACAAAAATTAGCCAGGTGTGGTGGCATGAGCCTGTAATCCCAGCTACTCGGAGGCTGAGGCAGGAGAATCGTTGAATCCAGGAGGCAGAGGTTGCAGTGAGAGATCGCACCACTGCACTCCAGCCTGGGTGACAAGAGTGAAACTCTGTCTCAAAAAAAAAAAAAAAAAAGAAAGAAAGAAAAGAAAAGAAAAGGAAAGGAAAGGAAAATCTGTCTGAGGGCTCATCCTGTGAAGTCTCACAGCACTTAGAAGTGACGGGGCAGACAGTGGGTGGGCTCCTGAGGTCAGAGTTTGAGGTCTGCTGCCAGCCAACTCCCTGAAGCAAAGAAGTTAATGGAGTTCTGTCTCCTTTCAGATTTCGGTATTCGGATTCCCGTTGGACACGTGGACTACTTTGTCAATGGAGGCCAAGACCAACCCGGCTGCCCCACCTACTTTTATGCAGGTCAGAAATCCAGTAAAAGTTGGTATTTGGCGACCCCAGAGATTGGAATTCACCAACAGCTGTTGTGTTGAGTCAGCCAGAATGGCCCACAGAGGGTCTGCTTGACAAGTGTCCTTTGCTATGTCCCATAATGCCTTACTCAGAGTGTATTCAAGGATGGACGTCTTCAGAGCCCAGGCATTTGAGGGGAGGGTGTGGCACAGTCCACACCAACTGCATCCTCTACAGAGCCTTGCTTTGGCAGAAGCAAGCCATTCTGCCCAAAGCTGGTGAGCAGAAGGATCAATTCACTGCCCAGTCATTTCACCACATTTACCAACTCTAACAGTTCTCTAAAATTGTTTTCAAGATGATCTTTTTGAACACACTCAATGACCGTACATTTCCTCTCTTTAAATATAGCCTTCTGGAATGTTCTTTTTAATATATTTATTGATATATTCTTAGCATACTAAATGTGTCAAAAGCTAAGATCAATAATTATTTGGTTTTCTTATATCTTATGAATATAGCCAATATATCAGCATTTCATATAAAAATTTAAAATGCTGAGTTCTGTTTACTATGTTTTTAGTCTTGTCTTGCTTTACCAAATTTTTAACATTTTAAGGATTCCTTTGACAATCTTTTTGAATAACTACTCATTGATTTTACCAAATTTACTGGTTTTCCAAAAACATGCTTCTTTTTGCAATTTGTGAATTTCTCAGCAATTCTGATAAAATAGGAGTTTGGTTTCAATGGCTTTTGAAGATTTGGTGGCATTTCAATTGACCACTTTTCACTTTTTCTCCATAACACAATTTGAGAAGGGTTTAGTTTGTCTCTGCCCCAGTTCCCTGTTGCAGCTGGAAAGAGCTTGACCGTAGAGAGTGTCCCAACCACAGGGGAAAGGAAAGTCAAAATTCTGCTTGGCTTTGGTTGCAGGTCTCAGCAACGAGGTCTCAAGGTGTAGGGAGAGTTTGAAGACCCCAGGACCCTGGAGTTGTAGCTCACCACATACTTCTTAGTTCCAGCCAATTTAACCAATGTCGAATGCTGCAAACTTAAATAGTAAATAATAATGAAACTAAGTTTTGGTAAACTGGGATATTTGACAAATTCAGCATATCAGTCATTTGGCCCGGTGAACCTCAGCACATTGGCTGTAGAGAGTGATCGACCATAAACTGCGGCTGATGCAGCAGTCTCACTGCTGGGTTGGGTATAATGAGGTTGTAAAAAATTTGTTGTATGGGTGATGATGAAGAAAGTAAAAATATGCGCAAATACCCATTTTGAGAAGTGAGGCAGCATCATCAACTCTCTATATATTCCCATTTTATGAAGGAGAGTTTGCATGATCATATAAGAATCCATCTCAAGGCCAGGGCATGGTGGCTCACACCTGTAATCTTAGCATTCTGGGAGGTTGAGGCAGGTGGATCACCTGAGGTCAGGAGTTCGAGACCAGCCTGGCCAACATGGCAAAACCCTGTTTCTATGAAAAATGCAAAAATTTGTGAAGTGTGATGGTGTGCACCTGTTAGCCCAGCTACTCAGGAGACTGAGGCAGAAAAATTACTTAAACCCAGGAGGCAGAGGTTGCAGTGGACCGAGATCATGCCATTACACTCCAGCCTGGGCAACAGAGTGAGATTCTGTCTCAAAAGAAAAAAAGAAAAGAAAAGAAAAGAAAGAATGCATCTCAAATCAAGCAATTTTCTTGATGGATTATGCTTATGTATCTCAGGAAAAGTAAAATGAAAAAGTAGAATGTAGTAACCATGTACACTAATATTTTGAAAAAGTGATTTGAGGGGACTCACATGCATTTATTTACAGCTTGCTGGAATATAAAATTCAATAGAGTTTCAGTGAGCAGCACAGAGGGAATTCCATTTGTCTTGACTGAAACTTTGGTTGTGTTTTTTCTGTGTTCAGGTTATAGTTATCTGATCTGTGATCACATGAGAGCCGTGCACCTCTACATCAGCGCCCTGGAGAACTCCTGTCCACTGATGGCCTTTCCCTGTGACAGCTACACGGCCTTCCTTGCCGGACACTGTCTGGATTGTTTTAACCCTTTTCTGCTTTCCTGCCCAAGGATAGGTAAAGTGCTTCCCCTTTGACTTCCTTTGACAATGTGAGGAAAGTTCAAGCCCTACTACTTGTCCCCTCTTAATGTCCTGATCTCCTGTGGTCAAGAATTCTATCCAATTGGGGAAAAGAAAATTAAGCAATGAGGTGCTCAGCCTGTTCTTACTTGGAGATGGATGGTTGGTTCTCGTGCCCCAACCCTCACCCTCTATAGTGTTCCCTATGGCCATCCTTGCTCCACACACACCCTTCCCACATACAGGTCCCCCCACTCTCGGACCAGATGCTGCTTATAGATCTTTCTCACTTCTTGCCATTCTCCAGTTCTTCATAGACCCTAATTCTCTGTGTGGTGGGGAATCCCTAAGAGTGGAACACAAGACCCACATTAGAGGTCTGAGATTCTGGTGGTCTCATGGCAGCTGGGGGGATGCCTAGTTGCTGGGGGGCTTGGGTACCTTCTTGGATGATCCAGGCCAGTCTGGGGAAAGGATGCCAGGAAGGCTGCAGGATCTGGCCTCTAACTCACTTGTGTAGACCATTGCTATGAATATCTTGTGGTTATCCAGGATGAAGAGCTCCAGGAAAAACTCCTGGGCAGTGGAAACGGTTTCTCTCCTTCCCATACTCTCTTGCTTCCCGCTACCCCTGGCTGCCACTCAACTGTAGCAGCTTGCTACTGCTTATATGAGTGAAATGGGTACCAGCTTGACAAAATAGTAAAGTAGGGTAGCTTCCCATGATAGAACAAGTCAACATTATTTCCTACTCATTGTGCATATGTCAGTTTCCCCTACATGCCATGGACCCACAGACATAACAGCCGCTTCACACTATCTGCCCAGCCTCATGTCTCACTACACTTTCCCTTGCACTGAACACCGGATGGTGCTAACTACTTGTACTTCCAAGTGTACATCAAGCTTCCTCACCTGTGTGCCTTGGCCGTAACCATACTCTCTTCCCAGAATGCGCTCTCCCCACTTGTCATCCACTAGTCTTCAGGTCAAACACTTCGTGCTTCACCGTGCTCCCACTGCACGGGATGTAAGTGTCATGAAAACAACTGCTATAGGAGATTGGTTTTGCAAGTTAGAGATGCAGTTTCAGATTTCTTATAATTACCTGCCAAGAATGAGTCAGATGATCTCAAAAGCATAGTGCCATTTATGTGTGTGTTTACTGCCCACTGGACCGAGTTGCTGGGATCCCAGGGCTCACCTCAGAATACAGCATGAGGACTTGGGTCTATCTACTGATCCTATTTCCTCCTACCCTCCAAATTTACCCTCCAGTGGGTTTTCTCTCTAGAGTGGTGTTTAGGAGTGTCCTCTGGCTGTCTCCTTTCTGCATTCTCCTTTCTGCGCTCTCATAGTGCGTGTGGAGTGTAGATGTCTGTGGAATAAATGGGTGCGTGAATTAATAAACATGTGACTGGGTGCTGTGGGACCCTAAGATAGCCTTCTCAGGACTCTGCTTCTTTGCTTCTTTATTTTCAGGCCTGGTGGAACACGGCGGTGTCAAGATAGAGCCACTTCCCAAGGAAGTGAAAGTCTACCTCCTGACTACTTCCAATGCTCCGTACTGCAGTGAGTAGGGGGAAATGCATGAGCTCAGCTCTGCCAGGGTGCCACCGGAAGAGTCCAGGGCTTCGGCTTGGGCTGTGCCCAGCCCAGTGTGGTAGTCTGGGTGGGAATGAATGATAAGGGCAAGGGCAACACCGGAGGTGGGACAACAGCCCCTGGTCTGAACCAAAACTTTCAGAGTCCAACCGATTGCTCTTCAGATGAGGACTTGGGGCTTCTTACCGTCTATCTACTGGTCCTATTTCCTCCGACCCTCCAAATTTACCCTCCAGTGGGTCTTCTCTAGAGTGGTGTTTAGGAGTGTCCTCTGGCCATCTCCTTTCTGCTCTCTCATTTCCCACTTCTTGGTGCCCACCCTATGTGTTTCTCACCCTGGCAGCCTCCAAGGTGGGGGTCCCTGGGAAATACTGAACCTTTCCCTCTGCTCTCCTTCCCCTTCACAGATGCATTCCGGCTTCCCACTGTTACTCCTAACCATGGCATTTCTTTGAAGCTAGGATGCTAATGGTTGTAACAATGTTAAATGTGAAAGAAAAGTGTGTCCAGAATCCATGAAATACATTACAAGCTGAACATCATCCTTCTCTATATTATGTGCATCTTAACTAGGGTGACTATATTTCCTGGTTTATGCTGGTTATCCTGGGATCCTGTCTGCTTTATCATGTGTACAGGATAAAGCATGCTGGTTTGGATGATAAACTGTATGCCACCCAATTTTAACTGATTTTCTGGTCAGTTCGTGTCAGGTCAGTGGAGGGATCTTTGTGACAATATCTTCCTGGTACTAGAAGGCCTGGTACCATGTGATATGGAGCCCAGAGCTCAGACTCTGTGCTCACCTAGACCTGGATTTGAATCTCAGCTTCTCTATTTACCAGCTGTGTGATCAGGAGCAGGTTATTTAAACTCTCTGAACTCTATATCCTTATGTGAATACAGGAACCATAACGGTACCTACTTTAAAGAATCAATTGTGAGTATAAAATAAAATGGACACAGGAGGTCACTAGTACAGGGACTGGAACCCAATCAGTAATAATTTCCTCCCCTTAGTCAATCGGAGAATTTGGGAGAGGAATAGTTAGGGTGTTTCTACCTTCATGCCAGAGAAAATTTATGGCTACCTCTTAGGAACAAAGTGGACTACAGAGTCAACTGTGGCTTTTCACATCCTTAACAGCTCATTTGACAACCCACTGGGAGACGTAGGGAAAGGGAAGCTCTGAGAGACCAAGTGGCATGCCTAAGGCTGGGTGAAAAGGTCAGAAGTCAATTCCAGGTCTTCTGACTCTAAAATCTATACTCCTTCCTCGCCACGACCATGGTTCCATCTTCTGAAAACCTGCTGTCTGCAGGCCGTATGTCTCAGCTCCCCTTCTGTCAGCGCCACCCCATCAGAGTTGGCATGTGGGAGGATGTTTTGTCTGGTGGTGGACGCGGTGCTGCCAGGACCAGATGTCCTGGCTTTTAATTCCAGCTGCTGGGCAGATTCACAGCAACCTGAGCTGGCGCCTCTATGTCTGTGCAGCTAAGAATACACCTGGCAGGAAAGTTTGGGGAATGCCTGGAGGTTAAAAGCATGTTAAGGTCCCTGCTGAGGGGGTTCACAGAGCCATACTTTTTCTGACTGTTTCATATTTGTTGTGAGACCACCTCCCCATGCCTCCAGAAGCATAGCCATGTTGGTTCCAAAACCACAGAGGGGTACAGAAACAGGCATGCCTGCCTGCATGCTCTGCCATAAGCTGTCACTTCTAGGGATGGAAGCTGGATCCTCCCTGCTCTCCCTGGACAGACATGGGTATGTTCAGGAGTGGGTAGGGAGAAGCAGCTCTCCAGCTACTCTTAGGCCATCATGGCACTGGGCTCCCATGCCTAGCACCGTTGGCCTGCTTTGACTTCAGCAATGTTGACCTGTGCCAGGCATGCACCAGTATGGGCAAAGGATCTTCTAACAAATAACTTTTATACAATATATTCCCTCATAGAACAGTTTTTCACATAGTGTACCTTCTCTCCGTTACTTCACCCCATCCTTACCATGTCCTGTGTGATAAGTTGGGGGCTATTGCTTGCAGATGAGGGAACTGAAGCATGGAGAGGCTCAGTGTCTTAGGCAAGGCAGCATCGCTTGTAAGCAGCAGGGTTGGGGCTTGGATCCAGGCCTCCTGACCCACCACCCAGGACTCTATGTTGTATGACATGTTCCTGTGCACATTTGATTCCACTAATTCCCACCCACCCAACATTAGGCTTGGCTCCCTTGGGGCCTCCAGGGTAATTTAGTGAAGAAAGAAGCAGGCCAGGCGCAGTGGCTCACATCTCTAATCCCAGCACTTTGGGAGGCAGAGGTGGAAGGGTCGCTTGAGGACAGGAGTTTGAGACCAGCCTGGGTAACATAATGAGACCCAGTCTCTACTAAAATTGTTTACAATTAGCCAGGCATGATGGTGCTCACCTGTAGTCCTTGCTACTAGGGAGGCTGAGGTGGGAGGATTGCTTGAGCCCAGGAGTTGGAGGCTGCAGTGAGCTGGTTATGCTACTGCATTCCAGCCTGGGCAACAGAGCAAGAACCTGTTTCTTTAAAAAAAAAAAAAAAGGAAAAAAAAAAAAAAAAAAGAAGAAACAGAATCTTAGAAAACTTTCTTAATCAATGATACCTGCTAGCAAAGGAAGAAGTATTAATAATATAATATAGCAAACTCAGCCCTGAGAATTAAATTCCTAAAGCTGATGTAAGTTAGTTATTTTTTCCACATTGCAAATATCATCCATTCCAGTTCAGCCCTTGCCTGTCCCCATAACAATTGATATCCCATAGTAACATCTCAGAAGGAGAAACAGATGGGGTGTGGTGTCAGATGTCCTCCTCTGTGGAGGGGAAACAGTCAAGGCTCTTTTCTTCTCGTGGATTCTTGGCATCTTGGCATCTTTTGGTGAGCCCTGTTACTAACCCCAGGGAGCCCAGATGGGCCATAGCATTCCTCCAACTTAGTGCTGAGTTCACCTGCATCCAGTTTATGTTCCCCTCCCCAATGTTAGCCAAAATATAGCAGATGAAAAAGTACAGGTAGAGTAGAGGTGAAGGATTGCATCTCTAGCTATATCTCCATCACCAAAGGAGCCTGGGAAAATTCCCTGAGACTAAAGCGATTGCAAAATGCCACCAGATGCACCTACCCCTTAATAAAAAAAGGACAGTGTGTTAGGGAAACTGTAATCTTTCTTTTCTTATTTATTTATTTATTTATTTAGAGACAGAGCCTTTCTCTGTCACCCAGGCTGGAGAGCAGTGGCACGATCTCAGCTGACTGCAACCTCTGCCTCTTGGGTTCAAGCAATTCTTTTGCCTCAGGCTCCTGAGTAGCTGGGATTACAGGCATCCACCACCAAGACTGGCTAATTTTTTTGTATTTTTAGTAGAGACAGGGTTTCACCATGTTGGTCAGGCTAGTCTCAAACTCTTGACCTCAGGTGATCTGCCCGCCTGAGCCTCCCAAAGTGCTGGGATTACAGGCGTGAGTCACCGTGCCTGACCTTACGAGTTAAATCTTTAGTTTATGTTTTAGTCTATTTGTGCTACTATGACACCGTACCTGAGACTGGGTAACTTACAAAGCTCAGAAATTTATTTTCCCACAGCTCTGGAGCCTGGGAAGTCCCAGATCAAGGCGCCGGCATTCCATGTCTATAAGGGTTGCACTCTCTGCTTCCAAGAAGGTGCTTTGCTGTTGCGTTTTCCAGAGGGGACAGATACTGCGTTCATACACAGCAGAAGGCAGGACGTCAAAAAAGGGCCTTGCCAATTCCCTTGAGCCCTTGTATAAGGCACTATTTCATTCATGATAGTAGAGCCCCCATGATGTAATCCCTTCCCCCAAAGGCCCCACCTCTCAATACTGTTGCACAAAGCATTCAGTTTAAACATGAATTTGGAGGGGACACAAACATTCAAAGGATAGCCATATATGACAGATGCATTTGGCTCATTCAAGATCATCCCACCATGAAAATGTGAGCAAACAAGGGGAAGTAAAACCGTAGTATTACAAAATAACAAAAACCAACATTACTGAATGCTTCCTAGGCACAGGCACTGGCCTGAGGACTTCATACATATTAACCTATTTATCTCAGGCCTAGGGTGTCTACTTTTTTTTTCATTTTTTTGAGACGGAGTCTTGCTCTGCCGCCCAGGCTGGAGTGCAGTGGTGCGATTTCTGCTCGCTGCAAGCTCCGCCTCCTGAGTTCAAGCGATTCTCCTGTCTCAGCCTCCTGAGTAGCTGGGATTACAGATGTGCACCACCACACCCAGCTAATTTTTGTATTTTTAGTAGAGATGGGGTTTCACCATGTTGGTCAGGCTGGTCTCAAACTCCTGACCTCAGGTGATCCACCCACCTCGGCCTCCCAAAATGCTGGGAGTACAGGCATGAGCCACTGCGCCCGGCCAAGTGTCTATTTTTATTATCCTCAATGTACACTTGAGGAAACTGAGGATCTGAGATTATAGGTAATCTCCTCCTGGGCACACAACTACTAAGAGATAGAGCCAAGATTCCCAACCACACTGCTGCTCTCTGGGGTTTTTGCTCATTGCACCTTCTGCCCTCTGGCCCAGTCTCTGTTGTGCTTTGGTTTCCTAGTGCATCACAGCCTCGTTGAGTTTCACTTGAAGCAACTGAGAAGAAAGGACACCAACATCGAGGTTACTTTCCTTAGCAGTAATGTCACCTTCTCATCTAAGATCACCATGTACGTAAGTGTCCCACCTGGTTGACCCCTTCCCTTAGGAGCTGGTTACTTTTTCATTTTACACACATGGACAACCCAGGTCAGGTACTGTGTGATTGCTGATTCTGGGGCCCAGCCAGCTCGGCTGGGGGCAGCACCTACTCTAGATCCAGCCACAGACACAGGCTGGGGAGCTGCTCAGTAGTGGGTCCAAGTATAACAGATTCAGATGAGAGCAGGCAGGGCAGGCAGGCAGTAGGGACGGCATGTCGCAACATGCCATGCCAACATGGTGGAGAGGACCTAGGAATCAGGTCCCTGAGAGGAAACAGTACTCTGGAATCCAGGCAGTGCGGGTATCAGGGATGTCAGTAGGGAGGAGGGCCTCAGTCACCAGCCCAGGGAGGGCTAGCCAGAGCCTGGAGAGCACCCGCTCCTGGGAAAGGAGAGCAGTTCTAGGTTAGTTACCAGAATGGAATCTGAGGCACATGGTCAGTCAGCAAAGGAGTGCAAGCTGAGGGCCAGACTGGCGGCCAGGAGGGCTTGATGATTCCTGGAACTGGGGCTAATCATTCACTTCCTTTGTTGGGGCAGACTTGGGTTTGGGGGCTGGTGGAACTACGCTTGAAGTGAGAGGGTAAAGAACCCCAACTGTAGGGAGCCACAGCCTGCAGGGGATAGGAAGGCAGCAGCCATGGTGCATACTTCTTTAAAAAGCAACTGGTTAGTTATTCACAAGCCAGCGGGAGACAAACTGTCAGATAATGTCACTGTCTCAGTCAGAGTCCGGTCAGGAAAACAGAGGAGGTCCAAGAGAAGGAATTTAGCACGGCGAACTCATTACAAGTGTGTTGGATGAGCTGAAAAACTGAGAGATGGGGACACAATGCAGAGATTACTCACAACAGGAGCCACTACCACCCTAAGCTAGAGAGACAAAGCAGGGGTGGCACTGGCAAAGCTGGGTCCACAGAGAAGGCTGCTTGGCAGGAGCTGAACCCATGGGAAGTGCAGCCCGTCTGGAATCCCTGCCCAAAGCAGCCACCCACCTGAGCATGCTTCCACTGGGTTAGACCTCACTGGAACCTGCTGGTGGGGGAACCTGCAGGGGAACAGATCAATCCAGAGCAAACAGGGAAATGACCGGTGCATACACACTTAAATGTGTCAGCAATGCCCTGAGAGTGACAGCATGGAAGACGGAGCCTGACCGAGTCTAAGGAAATGATGAGCAGAGATTTGGAGGCTTTCCAGGAGCTACCCAGGCCAGGCTTAGGGAGAATGTGACACTTCTGGTGTGTATGGAGCACAGATTTAGGGTTACGGGGATGGTGTGGGGCTGGAGAGGCAAGTCAGGGCCAGATCCTGCCAGGCCTTGAAGGACAAGTTTTTTTATCCTGAGAGTAGTTTGGAGAGCCACTGGGAGTTTTAAACAGGACAGTGATGAGATCAGATGTGAGTTTGGAGATATTTCTCAGGCTGGGATGTTGGATGTGAACTCTGCTAAGAGGCACTACAAGTTTCTGCTGGAAGGAGCACACTTCTTCGCTCCCAAATCCCTGGCCACTTGCTGGTGTTCCTTCTGGCTCACCCAAGGTCACACAGCTACATACAGCCATCAGGATTCCAACACAGGCCTGCAGGTGCCCACAGGGCCTTGCAGACTGTGGCTATGTATCAGTAAGCCAAATACCTTTCATTAGACCCGCTCAAGGTTGTGCTACTTCTAGAAGGGTGTTTTCATCATCTTCTAGCCCATTGGTAGGTCCGAAAACACTGGCAGGAGTCATGAAAATGACCCACACCTCTGGCTGCACATTAGAATCACCTGGAGAGCTTTAAAAAATATTGATGCTGGCTGGGAGCCGTGGCTCAAGTCTGTAATCCCAGCACTTTGGGAGGCTGAGACGGGCGGATCACGAGGTCAGGAGATCGAGACCATCCTGGCTAACACGGTGAAACCCACTAAAAAATACGAAAAAAAAAAAAATTAGCCGGGTGAGGTGGCGGGGGCCTGTAGTCCCAGCTACTCGGGAGGCTGAGGCAGGAGAATGGCGTAAACCCAGGAGGCGGAGCTTGCAGTGAGCCGAGATTGCATTACTGCACTCCAGCCTGGGAGACAGAGCGAAACTCCGTCTCAAAAAAAAAAAAAAAAAAAAAATTGATGCCAAGCCCCCCACCCCAGAACAATCACATCAGGGTCTCTGGGCACAGGCTCCACAGCTAAACTTTAAAAGCTCCCCGAAGAATTCCAGTCAACATCCACAGATTAGCGCTTCTTCCTCCCCGAGCGGGTTCACATAACTCTTTTGAAGAAGGCACCAGAACATGATTCACTTCATGCGGATCAGAAACTGGGGGAAAAATGGGGAGATGGTTACGTGTGGTCTTTCTCCAAATTTCTATAGCTTTACGTGACTCTAAGATTTTCTTCTAATTGGAGAATTAACCTGGGCCAACTCCCCAAATCACTCACTTAAAAGATTTTTCATATTCCTTGAATTTTACAAACTCTTCAATCTAAGCTGTTTCTTAAAGGAAACAATCTTATTTTTTCCTCTGAGGTATTTCAAAAGACTTGTGAATTTAAAAAAAGAGGGACTGGTTTTTAAACAAAATTATAATGATCTTCCCTTAGAAGGAAAAAACAAGATATATGACTAACCCTGGACCAAAAAGAACACAAAGAAGCCTTGTCATCACTCTGTGAAGGCCAGAAATGAACAGGAAACCGAGTTGGCAGGAGTGGCTCCCCACACCCCCTGGTCCCCGCCCCCCACCGAGAGGAACGCAGCGCCCTCCTTCTTTCCTCTTTCTCAGAGTCCCCCTCAGAGGCCAGGGAGGATCACAAAGGGCCCCACAAATCAAATTCCTTCCCTAGCTGGGTGGTGCAGCCCTGCTGGGCGCTCTCTCTGATACCCTGCTCACCACCCTCAGGCTCTGCTGGCTGGGCTGTGCCTTGCACTCAGCATGAAGACTGTCCTCATTGAATCTCACGATTTTTTGCTTTTGTCTCCAGTACCTAGTACCTAGGGGGTACCACAGCCCTTTTGGAAGCACCCTGCTAGGTTGATCACTTCATACTCCTCCCTCATCTTTGTCTCAGTCCAAAGTGGTGCCTGAATCTTTAAACAGATAGGGAATCTGAGGGGCAAAGCCAAGAGGGTGGGTTAAGACAGAACTGGATACTGTTTTCACTCTGAGCCTCCTAGGCTGAAGTCAGTATGAACCAAACCCCGTGGTTCAAGTTCATAGCAGCATGTAGGGAAGCTGGGACTTACACCTAGTTGCTAGTGACTCCACAGCCACCTTGCCAGGTTAGGTAACTTTTCCAAAGCCACACAGCTGGGAAGACAAAACCTGGGTTCCACCCAGCTCTGTCTGTGCCTCATGATCTGTTTTCTTGTTGCTGTTCCCACCCACACATTCATACTTAGCCTAAAACAGAAAAGTCCTTACACAGAATTCTTTGAAAAGGAATGTTCTAAAAGAGGGTTTCTACTTCTGGGTAATTGGGTGTGAAGGTGAAGGTCTCCTCCAGCTGGGAATCCAAGAATGAGGAACAGTTTTTCCAGATATGAAAATCCAGGAGCTACTATTTTGTTGCAGTGTCCACTTGTTCACTCTAAAAAATCAACAACTACTTTCTTGGTCATATTCAAAGCTGGAGGTGTGGGCAGAGGGGCTGGTGAGGGTGACACAAAGGACTGTGGTAAGGAGCTAACCCCTTGGTGCATGACAGCCAACCAGTGCCACCAGCAGAGCCTGATTGGAGCCAAAGGGAAAGTACAGGCCATAAGGGCTGCAGTCCTTTACTTTCCCTTGCCCCTTTCCTTGCAGACCTAAGCGGCAACTTCACGGGAAAGGAATCATAGCTCATGCCACCCCACAGTGCCAGATAAAGCAAGTGAAATTCAAGTTTCAGTCTTCCAACCGAGTTTGGAAAAAAGACCGGACTACTATTATTGGGAAGTTCTGCACTGCCCTTTTGCCTGTCAATCACAGGTAAGCCCCAGTATCCACTTCCCCCCGCCAGACACACACACACATCAAAGATCAGTCCTGGCCTTAGATGTGCTGCCTGTTGAGATTCAAGCTCATCATAGTGATTACCATCTTAGAAGCAGAAATGACAGAGACCCAGCTTTCCAGAACCTCCTGTGGGACCATCTTGGGTTGGGGAAATTCCACTGTGTTTGTTCTACATATTTAGTTTCTATGTAAGATTTCATTAGAACAAAGTTTTCTCATTGCATATTTTCTCCTCTGTGGCCTCCACTCCAAACATATCATGGGTCACATTCATGGGTGTGGATCCAGAATCCACATCCCCTTTCCCTTCCTCTAAAGGCATTTATGTCATTAACCTTACCACCCCCGGCCCTTGGACCACATGAACTGGCTCTTAATTGTAGGTGACTGCAGACTTCCTTCATCAGACATCATGGAAATTCAAAAGCCACAGAATGCCAAGCCCTGTCTGCTCACCAGCCACTGCTCTCTTATTGCTCTTCTCTTCCAGAGAAAAGGTGATCTGCTTACCCGAACCGGTGAACTTACAAGCAAGTGTGACTGCTTCTCATGACCTGAAGATAGCCTGCGTATAGTTTAACCTGGGCAGGACACATCTCCCTGCATTTTTTTTTTTTTTTGGAGGGAGGTGTGATGAGGGATGTGTGTGTGCAGCTTATTGTAGACCATTACTGCTACGGAGAAAGGCAAAGCTCTTATTTTCTCCATAATGAGCCACCCTGGAGGGGAGGGAGAACTCATTTTACAGAGCTTGGTTTCTGCTGCTGATCTTATGTACATACCCATTTTAGCTCTCCCATGCATACTTAACTGCACTTGCTTTAGCTCCTTGTATATCTGTACTTAGAATTCAATAGAAATATGTACAGAGTAAACAATTTTTAAAAAATAAAACTTCATGGAGTACCTGAATCATTGAACTGTTTTACTTGAATGGAATTCTGTTACCTACAAAAAGTTGAGATTTATACTCCGTAGGATTGCAGAAAACAGTATTGCATTATCTGTATTAAAATAGCAACTAAAAGAAGTACTTGGAACAAGAGAGGGGATGAAGGGTGGGGAGGAAGATGGCACCATTTACTAACCCTTACCATTACCTCCTTTGGATATCTGGAAGGTTTGAGGGATCAGAGAGATCTTGGGGAATACAGGTGGATTTCCTCTGGGTTACTGTTTCCCAAACTTTGATCTTTGTAAATAACCTTGTATCAGCCGCAGCCCAGCCAAAAACAGATGGTGCGCTCAATCTGTGTTGGGAGAATTTAAGAAAAGGACTATTTGCTGTAGTCTTTTGTGGGGAAACCACAGGGATAATGTAGTTCCCTGAAGCTACTGGCAGTAGAAGCTGCTACTACGCTACCCTTGAAGAGGCCAGAGGAGGGGAAGCACCGGGGGCTGCAGACCTGCAGTACAGGGACACAGTCAGCCAGCAGCAACCCCGCAGGGAGGGAGCAGGAGCAGATTCTCTGACTTCACTGTTTCTCCTCCCCCATTTTCCTGCTAGTGCTCCCCATTAAGGACCCCCAACAGAAGCCAGAGGGCAAATAACACATTGACATGGCCTAAACAGGCCTGGGGCATATACAGCAGGACAGAGAAGGGTGTAGAATGGATGGGAAGGGGGTGGGGAACTAACAGATATGGCACACGCCCTCACCACTTTCCTAAATCCAGGTTTCCCCTGGATTCTTTTATTCTTTAAATTCACTTTTTTAAAAACATAAATAAATGAGCTTTAAAAGGAAACTGCTGACTTGCTGATTTGCTCTCCACAAGAAAGACTGGGAGAATGATGGAAGCAACGGGCTGCAATTACTCCATCTGGGCCAAGTCAGCCAGGGCACTGAGAGCTTCGGCCTTCGTCCAGGCCTTGGAAATGCCACCAAAAGGACAGGTGAGGCTCACAAAGATGTTTAACTGTCTGCATGATCACAGTCATGTCTAAAGAATACACATGTTCCCTACTACGTAGGCTTTCAATTTTCTATTTTTCCTCAAACCAAAAACCCTCCTTTCCTTTTCCCTCTCTTTACTCCACGCAGGTTCCTCCCTGGAGACAGTCTTACCCTGAGCTGTATTACGCTGCACTTCCATTTGCCATCCTGGGAGACACTGCTTAGCACATACTTCTTCCTTAGTTTTCCCCACTGCTCGTTGCTTCATTTCCAAATGTGTATTACATTTCTGTGATGAAAATCATATTGTGGGCCGGGCACGGTGGTTCACATCTGTAATCCCAGCACTTTGGGAGGCCAAGCCGGGTGGATCACTTGAGGTCAGGAGTTCAAGACCAGCCTGACCAACAAGATGAAATCCCATCTCTACTAAAAATACAAAAAAAAAGAATCATATTGTGGGCCGGGCACGGTGGTTCACATCTGTAATCCCAGCACTTTGGGAGGCCAAGCCGGGTGGATCACTTGAGGTCAGGAGTTCAAGACCAGCCTGACCAACAAGATGAAATCCCATCTCTACTAAAAATACAAAAAAAAAAAAAAAATTAGCTGTAAATTAGTCAGTGTGGTGGCACACTCCTGTAATTCCAGCTACTCAGGAGGCCGAGGCACAAGAATTGCTTCAACCCAGGAAGCAGCGGTTGCAGTGAGCTGAGATCATGCCACTGTACTCCAGCCTAACAGACAGAGTGAGACTCCGTCTCAAAAACAACAACAACAACAACAAATCATGTTTTGTGATGTTGATGCTAACTGGTGTTAAACTGACTCAATCTGTTCTGCAGTGGCCTCACACTTCCATTCTGCTTTTGGCCATAGCCCTGGGTTTTTTCTTTGGGAAGTATTTTCCTTTTTTTTTTTTTTTTTTTTTGAGATGGAGTCTCGCTCTACGCCAAGGCTGGAGTGCAGTTGGCCGGATCTCAGCTCAACTGAGCTCCACCATCCCCGGGTTCACACGCCCAAAATCTCCTCGCCTCAGCCTCCCGAGTACTTGGGACTACAGGCGCCCGCATCGCCCGGCTAGTCTTTCTGTATTTTTTATAAGACCAACAGGGTTTCACCGTGTCGGCAGGATGGCCTCTCGATCTCCTGACCTACAGTGATCCGCCCGTCTCGCCTCCCAAGTGCCGGATTTTACAGGCTTGAGCCACCGCGCCCGGGCCCTGTGTGGGAATATTTTCCCTTATTTTTAAACACTGTTAAGCTTTCTCCACATGTTATGTTGCCCCTAGTTAGAAACCTTTGGATTACTACCTTTACATGGAAAACCAGTTTCTCTACTCATAAATTATCCAGAAAGAAATATAAGAGAAATTATAATTTTTAACATTCAACTAAGATAACTGTGGGTCCGATGCAGCTCAAAAAGCCCGGCCAGTTTTATTCCTTTTTTTTTTTTTTTTTTCCCAAATGTTCAGGAGGCAAAATTTTTTCTTTACTAAAAAGGAAAATTTGCAAGTATGTAAGATGTTTGAAAAATTTATCAACACTGGCCAGCCGCGGCGGCTCATGCCTAGATCCCAGCCTGGGGAGGCGAGGGCAGGTGAATCACCTGAGGTCTGAGTTCCAAGACAACCTGGCCAACAATGTTAGATAACCCTGTCTCCTACTAAAAATACAAAACATTTAGCACCGGGCATAGGGGCAGGCGCCTGTAATCCCAATCTACTCAGGAGGCTGAGGCAGAAGAATCGCTCGAACCTAGGGGTGGAGGTTGCAGTGCAGCGAGGATCGAGCCATTATGCAAACTCCACGCCTGGCAACAAGAGCAAAACCTCTGTCTCCCAAAAAAAAAAAGTATACACTGAGTGGAGACGTTTTCGAAATGATCACCGGATGGAAAGATATAAGAATGTAAACTGTCATGAATGGATGTTGTTAATGCTGGGTCTATGTGGTACCTTAAAATCATCACGTCCAGGGTACGGCCCCACACTTTGGGAACATGGCTTAAGGTAGATGATGCTTGGGTCAGGAAAGTAGAGCCTAACATGAATCTGCTCCATGCAACAAAAGCAAGCTTGGTCTCACGTCCACACCACTTGCGCACTCTGCTCCAAGTCTTCAGAACAGAGACTATACAGAGCTAATTAAATCCAACAAGCAATTCCACCACGAAGTGCAGACAACTGCTGAAAAAACAAGCAACGTGACCTGTAATAGCCGCGCAAGGCAAAAACATCCAAACATGCACAGCTTTTAACTATGCCAGCCACCATTGATGCTGTCATATGATTAACATATTTAGA